ACACAGGCAGAATGATCTCTTATCTCCGGTAATGAAAAGAGACGAGATGAAACTCCAGATATATTTAAAATATTCACATAAAGAGCACGGGGTGTGTGTGTAGAAACAAAGAACGGCTCAAACCACACCTTGGGGAAGCCGGTGTGTTGACCACCCCTTTCATCCCGAGGTCAAGGGGTTGAATTTATGGCTCATCGTTGTGTTTTTCCCAGGTTTTGGAGAAGCGAGGTTTAGTTTCCTGCCAGCTCCCAGGATCCACCAGCCTGATGTTGGGATTCTTGCCAAAGAAATAGTAGCTTCCCCCCCCCCAAACTCCACTCTGCCCCTTTTTCTCTGTCAATCTCGGACACAGAGTTCCCCATCCATCGTTGGAAAACCACTTAAACATGACAAGGCACATCGCCAGCAACGCAGCTGGTACAGCCGGCGTCAACACTGCGTTTCCCGAGAGGGTGAAATACCGACTGTGAGCCAACGTGGAACTTTTCTTCCTAAATCTGAGTTGCCCTGGGCCAACTTTTCTGCTGTTTGCTTGGCCATCAAAGGCCCCTCTTTTCCTCTCCCCCCTCCTCTGCCGCGCACGCCTTCTTTCGCTCTGCGGTTGTTTTTCACTTTCTGCCATGTGAACCAACCTCAAGGACTTCAGACAATGGCCCATAATTTATCTCCTGGGGGGTTTCCCCGGAGAGCCATAAGCGGGCAGAGCTCGGAGACAGAATCCACCGGCTCATGGCGCCGAGGCGATTCACCTGTCCTCCTTCTTCAAATTTTCCTGGCTTCAAATCATGAGCGTTGGAGACAAGCCCTCCCTCGGGAACCTTGAGAAATGTGGGGGTAGATCAGTTCCCCCCCTCCACGGCCGGCCCCACCTTCTCGGTCTCTCTTCTCCGTCACCCACCAAGAACTGGCCCCTTCCTTGGTGGCAAAAGAAAGGACATTCGGGGAGGGGGGAAAAAAACCCTCTTTGTTGTGTGGGGAAACTCAGCACCAGTGACCCCCCCCAGCCACTTGGGGGCCACTTGAGGCGCCATATTGGAGGTACGGACTTTGGAAACGGTCAGTACACAGACCCTCGGGGTAAAGGGCTGAGCCACTGCTTTCCAGAAAACGTGTTCCTGATCACATCTCTGAGAATTTCTGGATAGCTCAAGGGTTGAGGTAACTAACCGCAGAGCCAGAGGTCGGGGGTTTGATTCCCCTACTGGGCCTTCTTGACTCTGCAGTTCCTTCCCGCACTCGGTTCCTATTATTCTTGTTATTTCCCCTATTTTTTTTCCTTATCATCCCTAGAAACAAGACCACTCTATAGAGTTGCTCTAAATATCATCCACCACCTTGGTGTGGCTATTCCATGCACACAGAAACACGCACTATACGAGGACCGGTCCACTTGTGAAGCAGACCTTAGACAAAAAGAATTCATTGTGTAACCATACTTCCCAGCTCAGATTTCCAAAGTTCTTAATTACTCTTTCGATTCGATTCTTTTCTAGTTCCCAGAAATAACTAGAAGAGATGCTTTTATTTTGTTTTTGGTTTTTTTCAGAAAACACCCTCCGTGGGTTTTCTGAGCTACAGTATAACCGGTCCACCTTGTGGTCAACTCAATACACGCAGGAGCAAACCATCGGGGGAAACTTCCTCTACGACTTTGGAGGCCAGACCCTTGTCATGCTAAAATTGGGGGGGGGGAATGTACGCCAAAAGGAACCCAGAGAAATGGCCCATTACAAAACCCGGAGCAGGCCCATGACCCCTCTGAAACAGGAGTCGCCTGCCGTTGCTGCGCTGTAGCGCTGTTTTGCTAACCCTCGAGGCTGGCGAGAGCTGTGGGGGGTGTAATCTTTCGAAGCCTCACTTTTTGTGACAGGCCACATCTTGACAAGAGCTCCAGCCGAATAAACTTGTTTATTTTCTTGTATCGTTCTGAAGTAGGAAAAGGACAGGCACCGTTGTTGTTGTTTTTAATGAACCTGTCTCTCTCTCACACACACAAACATTTATACAGCAAAGCTGTTAGAGAAGTTGGCACGCTCTCTCGGAAAACATTTGGCGAAACAGCGCCTGAATTTCTGTACACTGTTGTGTACAATTTATGGGGAAATGGTGACTCAGGTCCGCCCTTGTCTCGAAACAAACTGGTGGCTGGCTTTTCTCAGAACTGTTCTCCCCACGGCCCCTCATCTTTTCAGCTAAAAAAAATGGACATACATGTACAGTCCTGTCCAAACAAGATCTTTGTGACAGCAGTCGGGAGGAAAAAGGATCATATAATGAATGTTGAACTTCACTCATCAGGCCCCGAAATGGTGGATTGTGAAATGGGCCGAGTTCCTTTTACAGCTCCGAGAATCCATCAGGATTTCACGCACTACCCTTTGGGCTAAACCATTTTGGCAGCCTTTTGTTTATGAAGGTTTTGCCTTGCAATTTTGGAAGTTTGTTCATTTAAAGGCATGCTTCTCTTCCTTCCTCTCGGCGCCCTTGCAGGACTCAATCTGCTGGCTAGCATGCCATTTGCAAGGCAACTTCTGGCTGTTCACGGTCCCTTTCCCCCTTCTGCACACACACACACACGCCTTTGGCGTCTGGGTCAATCACCTTGCGGCTGTACAAAACCAGGCGAAAATTTGCATTAGCAAATTCGGAGCCGGTCAGAGCATGGGTGAAACAGCACCATCTCCTGTCCGTCTGTGGTACTGACATGTCCTGAGAGATCAGGGTACAGTACTGTATTCCTGTCTGAATTATTCCCCCCATTAAAAAAAATTGGGGTTGAGGAAGAAAATGAGGGAGGCAGAGAGAAAGAGGAGAATCCCCCAGATTCTGGGGGCATCACTGCCCTTTCAGAACATCTGGGGTGCTTAACCTATCAGGGCATCGCTCAGAACAATTTATTTTAAATTGATAAATAAGGTCTGCTCAGCTAGCCCCGGATTGCTCCTCCTCACCAGATTGACTTTTTAGGGTTTTTTATAGGGTTTTTGGTTAGGGTTAGTATGACTGAGAGAGACAGAATCGGGAGAAGATCTCATGATTTTGAGCAGGAAAAAATGTACAAAGGACACCACTCTGCAAGGGGAATAGGGGGAAAACAGCTGGCCTTTTTCCTGTCAGAAGTGGAGGAATATAATGGAGCCTTCAACAGGCCTTATCCGGCTGCCTTGAGAACACCTCCAACACAGAAAGCAAAGCATTTAGCAAAAAGTCCATCATTTTCAGGGCATCCCACAAAAGGCTGCAAAAATACGGTGAGAAAAGCTGGCCGAGAGATTAGAGCAGTTCACAGCCCATGGACACTTGTTCACATCTTGCACACATGCGCACACGCCCTCCCTCCTCCTGTGGTTTTGCCGAGGAGCAAAGAAACCCATGTGTTTTGTGTTACCACCCCGCGCAAAAGGGACAAGACGAGGAGGTGAGGAGTAGGGCTGGCTGGGACGGTGGAGAGGGAGGGAGGGAGGGAACGTCAACAGCCCAACTTTGGGTTACATCCAAACCTCCGCGCCCCTCGTCATCCAGCTTGTAATAATAACTTCTTATCTAACGAGGAGACGTCAGACAGTGTGATTCGCCCATTAGCCGCACAGCGAGCCGCTAAGCGAAAGCAGATGGGGCGATAACTTATCGCGGTGTCTACCAAAAGAAGGGGAGCAGGGGGGGGGAAACGTGTCATGGCAGAGTTAAAATGGGTGAAAATCTGCTCCCAGGCTGCAGGAAGGAGGCCGGGGGCCGTGCTTCGAAGATACCCAGAGGGCGAAACAAGAGCCCATTGAGACACAGCAGGGGCACCTGCCTCAAATGGTAGATCCATGGGGTGCCACTGAATGGGCCCCATCCTGCACCCCCTAAACTGGCCTGCGTGGTACCACAAGGTGGGTGTCCGAGTCAATGTTTGAGGGGGAAGTGCCACCTTGCTGTTTGCTTCAGGCAGCAACAGGACTGGGGTCGGCTCTCAACAAATCCCTCGGAGGAATGCCATCCCACCCTCCAATCTGTGCATCTGGCCAAATAGGAGATGGATGGACTGCATAAAAGAACCCACAGCCAAGAGCCACGCAGGAGGAGAGGGGCAACAGGACTGGGGCTGGCTCTCAACAAATCCCTTGGAGGAATGCCATCCCACCCTCCAGTCTGTGCATCTGCATGAGTCCCTGTTCTGGACTGTTCACTCAGAGAGGCAACAGGCACACTCCTCCATTTCTGGGTGGCAAATCCTGGGGACATCGTCTGTCTCACAACCCATCAAACTAGGCGCATAACGATTATATCAACTCAGCTTTTGGGCTACAACTTCCAGGATTCCGTAGGCAGCGTAGTCAGTCCTCTGAAAAAAAGGAACCTGCCTGCCAGGAGAGGCTGAAAACTCTGTTGATCTGTATTTATAAAACAACGGTTTGCATCTCTGTCAACAGCAGGCCTTTGGTCGAGCTCATGGCTCTTGGTGCTGGAAAAGATAACAACGCGAGGAAAAGCGGAAGGCAGCAGGAAAAGAGGAAGGCCAAATAGAAGATGGATGGACTGCATAAAAGAAGCCACAGCCAAGAGCCACGCAGGAGGAGAGGACTTTTGGGAGATGGGTTCCACCAGAGGTTGAGGGCAACTGGACGTCACATAATAACAGAAATAGCTCTTGTCTTTCCATTCAAGAGGACTCCGAAATCATCCTCAACTACGTATCATTGCATCTCTGCCCCTTTTGAAGACCAGGGCAAATCTCAGGCGAAACAATGAAATGAGGATGAAGGCGGGATGTTAGGGTCCCTGTAATCCAGAAGTCTGGGAGCGTCAACACGCAGAGTCCCTGGTTCCACTACACTACCAGTTCAACTGGAGTCCCAAGTACTGTATTGTGTAGGGACTGGCGTAAATTTCGGAGAGCTTCTTTCATCACCAAGGTGCAACAGGAAGGGGGAGTAGATTTTGTCGAATGCCACCTCTCTCTCTCTCTCTCTCTCTCTCTCTCTCTCTCTCTCTCTCTCTCCTGGCAGAGATCTGAGCTATGCCGGCCTCATGGTGTAGCTCTGGATGGCCGTCTGAAAGAAGGCCAACGTGTTCTGCTCCGGCCGGAATAGGATCACGTAACACTTTGGCCCGAAGTACCCAATACAGACGCTGAGCAAGTTTAAAAGCCCAGTGACCACGTCAAAGGCCGTCACCACAACTCCCTCGCAGACCGCCATCACCACGACGAGGACCACCCAGCAGGTGAAATAGCTGGTCATGCATAGGGTGATGTATTTCGCCTCGTTGTAGTTCTTCGGCAACGCTTTCCCCGTGTAGGCGAAGCAGAAACATGCGAAGGACAAGACCATCTCCAAGACGTTGTTGAAAACGATGGCCGAGAGGTAGTTTGGGTTGCAGGTCAGGATCAGGACCGCCGGGTCGCTGCTGCTGACCGCACTTTGGAGCGGCAACGGAGGAAAAAAATAGAGGTTCATTCCCACAATGACCACTTTCAGGGTGAAGGCGGTGGCGACGAAAATCCACTGGCCGTTGTACCTCACCCAAGCGTTGTAAGCTCTGGGCAGCCGGGAAGCCATCTTGAAGACACACATGATCTGGAAGGAGCGCACACTCATGCAGGCCATGCAGATGGTGAAACAGAGGCTGAACACCATCCGGCGGCAGATGCACTTGACTTCCGTCGGTTGGCCGATGTAGAAGAAGAGACTGCAGAAGCCGACGATGAGGGAGGCGATCATGAGGAAGCACAACGGGCCCCCAGCCGATCTCACCACCGGGGTGTTGGCGTGACGGACGAAAATCAACAAGAGCCCCCCAGCAGTCAAGAGGCCCAGAAAGGTGAAGAACAGCAGGAAGATGGCGACGGGGCTGTCCCACTGAAGATAGCGGACCGATCTCAAGAAACATTCCTCTTGGCCGGCGTGCGACCACATGTCTGGCGGACAGCTCTGACAGGAGAAGATGCCTACGGAGCAAAACACAGGAAATCAGAGTTTCCCGGTTGACCCTTGGGATTACACGTGACGTCACAGAGGTGGGGCAATCCACCCTGCACACCAAGATCACCCTCCCTCCTCTTTCTCTAGACCTGCTCAACCTCAAGGCTGACCTCATCCCCTGGAGAAGGAAACAAGTCCCTGAAATGGTGCCCAGAGATCTAGAAACCCTGAAAGAATATCTGGGCGTTCAACCTCTAAAACTGTGGTCCCCAACCTTGGGCCTCCAGGTGTTCTTGGACTACAACCCCCAGAAGCCTTCACCACCACCTCTGCTGGCCAAGATTTCTGGGAGTTGAAGTGCTAGAACATCTGGAGGCCCAAGGTTTGGGACCACTGCTCTAAGACACTTAGAACCACCTACTCTCAGGAAAACGTTACCTGTGGTAAAGGATACCCGACATCCCCCACAGTCCCCGTGGCTAGTATTCAAGAACAGTGGCTCTCAGCCTGTTAGATGTGGTTGAACGTGAGTTCCTAGAAGGTCCAGTGACCATGGTTGATGGATAACTGTTTTCTGAGCCAGGGTCCAAAAACATCTGGAGAACCCAAAGTGGACAGTTGTTGTCGTTGGGTGTTTTTTTTAAAAAAAAGATTTTAAAAAAAACCCTAAGGGCTATGTCTGGTTTTTTGTTTTGTTTGTTTGTTTGTTTGTTTGTTTGTTTTTCATTTGTAGGTCATGGAATAACTTTTGGCCGCGTTGTTGGGTGTGGTTTTTTTAAAGATTTTTTTTTTTAAAACCCTAAGGTCTATGTCTGGTTTTTTGTTTTGTTTGTTTGTTTGTTTCATTTGTAGGTCATGGAATAACTTTTGGCCGCTCTTTTACTAGTATGGGTTTTTAGTCTTATAAGGGCCCCTTGGAAAGGAAACCTGGAAATCTTTTTTAAAAATAAATCATTAAAAAATAACAAAATAAAACCACACACAGAGAGAGAGAGAGACATACTGCTTTGGTTGAGGAACGTCCCGGGTTTACACTCCACGCACTCAAAACAGCAGGAGAGAGATGCCAGGTGTTTTTTCATCTGTCCTGGTTCACACTGCTCTGAACAAACAGATTTGGGGACCTGGAAAACAGCAAGTATAACAGAGATTTCATTTGTTCCTCTCTATTATTTGGTTCATGCACGGGCGTAGGTGGTTTGATTAATCTGGGCGGACGCTCGTCAGGTTTTTGAGGTTTTCCCTGCAACAGTTGGTGGACTTTTGAAAGAAGCCTGGATCCTTCCCAACACTGAGGATTCCGTGCCCTACAGAGGGAGGGAGAGAGGCACCTCCTTCGAATTCGGTACGGATGACAAAGCAGGGGGTGGGATAGATGACCAACAGGGTCCTTCCAGACCTTTGCCCCCCCCCACCTGGAGGAGCAGCCAAGAGGGTGAGATCCATCCTCCAGAAACATCTCCCAGGGGGATGGACAAACCCTGCTCGGAGTGAGCGTCCAGCCGGACACAAGGGGGCACCCTCGCACCAAGGTAAAACACGTTGGTGGCCGGGTTTCGTGGCACTCCCATCACAGAACGGGACTGGAGGTCTATATTTACATCCGTTTGGGGAGGAAAATCTGATAGCACTTAATGTAAGCAGACCCTGAGTCACCGAGAAGATCGAATCCTCTCTGGCAGTCTGGGAATAACTAGTTGACTCGTAATTCATTCCTCTTAAACCTCGGGGATAAATTCATAGTTATCTTAACACTTGTAACTGGAAAAGGAATGGCTTCATTGCATTTGGGGTGTAACATAATAGTTACTTTTCTAGTTACCCAGGTGCGAATGCCCTAAACACGAAAGTCCTAGAGGTAGGCCTTACCGTGTTGTTTTCCGTGTGCCAGAGGATGCTTTCGGCGTCAATGTGTAGCTCGTTTAATTCGCTGTAGCTGGCAATTCTTTGGAAGGGCTTCCCGGGGGTGTCCCATAGCCACTCCAGGACCTCGAAACCGTTGGGAGGGTCGCCTTTCTCATCAAAGTTGATAGTGATGTTCAGAAGGCTGAACCTCACCTGGCTCATCTCTTTCAGCAACTACAGCGAAAGAAAGGCCAGGTTACATTAAAAACCTTCCCCTGCATTTTTTGATGGCTCAAAACCCCCTCTAAAAGGTCTTTAAAATTACTAAAATAATTTCCCAAGCTCGTTTTAGCTCCTTTGAAAGGACAACTTACTGCCCTCGACCCAAGAGTCTAAAGCTTGATGGAGCATCAAACCTTTCCCACCCACCCCCATCATCTCTCTGTCTCTCCATTAGTGACAAAGAGACCTTTGAAACCCTGAAACTCACAAGCATTATTTGGGATAAGTTTTTATGATTGCAGTCCACTTCTTCAGAGGCCCGGACTAAAACCTTAGTAAACAGATCCTGGAACGTTAAAAGGGTCACCTATTGTTGGTAGAAACGTCAACCTCCTGATATTTTATCCCAAGCCTCTGGAGAAGCCACCAAACCTACACAAAACAGAACATGCAAGTTTCAAGCTGAGGAAGCATGCTTCAGCTTTTGGCCACTCATACTTTTTTTTTTCTTTTGCAGCCTCCAGACGTTCCTACTAATAAAGGCTTCTTTGAGATTGCCATTTTCCATCCTTGGGAGCCTCCAGGAGCTACAAAAAGCTCCCCCCCCCCAGCCTGCCAAAATAAAAGCAGGCATGGGGTTCCCACAAGACTCCGTTCTGCTTTTTTCAGGAAGGTTGGTCATCGGCACAAGCCCTGGGAAGAAAGACGGAAGGAACTGGAGCCTTGAGAAAAGAAGACAGAAGGGAAACAGGAGAGCCTTTTTCAAAGACTCGAAAGGCTGTCCTACAGAGAAGGGGCAGGATCTGTCCTCAATCGTCCCGGAGTGCAGGGCATGTCACAATGGGCCCAAGCTTTATGAAGCCAGGTTTAGGCTGAATAGCAGGAAAAAAAACCTTCCTAACCGTTAGAGCAGTACAACGATGGAACCACACTGGGGGCATGCAAGAAAATAGTGGTCAACCCTCTCTCTGACCGGCTTGATCCCTGCCTTGATCAAGGGGTTGGACTAGATGGCCTTTGAGGGACCCCTTTCAACCCAATTATTCTACTATTTTACGCCCAGCGGTCTCTGAGGGCAGAAAACAGGCCCTCCCGAAGTGGCCTACGATGGGTCCAAGCATCTCCCCCCACTCCCCCCAAAAAAGAAGGTTCGAGACAGAACGCGTGGTGTTCACCTGCCAAGGGTAAACGGTGCGGTGGCGGCATCCGGTGGCGTTGCAGCCCAGAACACGGTGCAAAGCGTGAGCTACGGCGTAGACGGCGGAGTACACGTTGAATTCGATGCGGCTCCCGGTTGCTCTGAGAATCGGGTCCATCTCCTGAGCCTTGAAGAGGCAATCGTCACATTCTTGATTACACATCGCAGGGTCCGCCCGTGCTTCGGCCCCGTCTGGAGGGTCCCCAGATGGCCGGACTCGGAAGTCATCCAGCCCAGGAATGGCGACTTTTTCGGGGGCGATCCCGATGAACGTGCCGAGGCGGGAAATCCCCGGCAGGTCTCGAAGCATGGAATCCATGGCCCAGGCTTCGGCCGCAATCCAGACGAACCCGGTCACGTTCTGCCAGACGGCCTCCTCGAAAAACCTCCAAAGGGGGACCTCGGTGCTCAAGACGATCACCACCTTGGCCGAGCTCCCTTTGATCCTCTCCACGAGGTTCTGGATCCGTGCCTTGGCCAGAGCGGGCCGGTCGTTTGTCCAAAAGGGGATGCTCTCCTGGAAGGCGACACAGGCCCACGTGGCCTGGGCCCGGAGCTGATGGAGGTTCGTTTGGCCATACTCATCCTCGCTGTACAGGACAATCACCCAGTTCCAGCGGAAGCTCCTCAGAAGATTGAGTAGGATGACGATTTGCTGCTCGGTGCTGGGGATGGTCCGGAAAGCCGCGGGGAAGGTCCTGGGGTTGCTCAGGGATTCCATGGTGGCGCTGTAGCTGATCTGGAAGGGGAGGAGAAGAGACTCGTCTCCAGAGGCTCAGCTATTCATTGACATAACAACGATTAAAAAGACTCTAATATTTTTAGGCCGTGGATAAGTGAATACATGGATACTGATCCCGTGGATAAGGAAGGTCCGACTGTCCTGGTCAGTTTGCAAAACCCATCTCTCTCTCTCTCTCTCTCTTTGCAACAAGAAATTAAGAACAGCAGGGCAAAGGAGACAGAAACGGACGACAGAGCCGCATTTCCTGTGGCAGGGAGTTCCCCAGGTCAGCAGCTCTGGGGATGGCGTGGAGTCCAAAACTCTTCCCTGCCTGTATATCCCTTTTCCACCACCACCCCCGCCACCTTACCTGTGGGACAAAAAAATTACTCAAGAGGTAAGCGGCCGTGACAGCGGTGGAGGACACATCCGGACCGATGACGGCCATGACCCGGGGCCGGTAGAAAGTGTTGCTCGCCTGGATCTCAAGAAGGGACCGATTGTCAGAGAGGAAGAACAAGAGCGGGTGGACAGCGTTGGAGTGATAGCAGATGTCCACCATCTCGTAACCAAGCGAAATGCCCGGCAAGAGGAGGCTGGAGTTGTTGATTTGTTCCACCGCGTAGCGCATGGCCTGCAGGTAGCTGTAGCCCATGGCCTTCGTGGGGTACCTGAGAGAGAGAGGGAGAGAGAGAGAGAGACACACACGGACGGTCAGAGGACGGTTAGAGGACGGGGAACGGCTCTCAGCTCTCCATGGGAGAGGCTCCCTGACGCCCCTTTCATCTTGCCACCATCCCATCATGGTTTGCTTACCTTCTGGTTCCTTCGGAGGACAGACATGGAAGGTCCTCTCTGGTGAGGGGGGCGTACAATGCTCCTTCGGCAGCTGGCTGTGGGACTACAAACCCCATCACCTCCAGTCGGTGTCCTGCCTTTATCATCATGCCTGGGGGGGGGCTAAATCCCATCTTGTAAAACTCCATCCCTAACACTATGTTACTGGCAGTTTGAAGGTGAATGGGGGCGGCGGCAATGTTAATCAACTACAACTCCCATCATCCATTGCCATCCGCTGTGCTAGCCAGGGACAATGGGAGTTGCACTCTGATCACCATCTAGAAGGACACCATGTTGCCCGGCTCTGACATGAACCACGCTGGTGTCTTTGAGTCGTTCTTTTTGCCTTTGTGACTCCCTGCCACTGGACAGACCCAAAGCCACTGAAACAGAATAAGATCCATTTTCTTGCCTAAGTTCCAGCAGGCGGCAGGAACAGGCCCTGGCCTTAGCAGGATGGTACCGACCCTGGTCTCCAGCCCCCCACTCCAAGAAAAAGGCTGGGTTCCGCACCCACCCCTCCCTGGGCTCTCATTTCATCTTACCAAGGGGCTAGTCCTCACTGCCGCCGCTCCCGATACTTACTTTTTACAGTCAGCCACCCAAGATTGGGAGAAGTAAGGGTGAGTCGAGGCTTCCATGTGTAAAGAGAAGAGCCCCCCTAGAATGTAGTCTCCAGCCAGGTGGAAGTGAGAAGAAGGGGTGGCGAGTGGTGCCGCCCTGGCGATCCAGGCCCCGAGGCAGGCGATCACAAGGGCTCCTCCAGCTGCAGCTGCCCCCATGGTCCTCCTCTGGCCGCGGGGTTGAGCCGCGAGAGGGGTCAGGAGTCTTTAAGCGGTTCCTCCACCCCCTCTCTGCCCTCCGCTCTTTGCATTGGAGACGGGAGCTGGTTCATTTGCACGTATTTAAATCCCCCACCCCACCCCACGGCAGCTTCGGCAGGCAAATGACCCAGACCTGCAGGTGGAGAAGGGGGTTCGGGGCCACAGGAGAAACAGCCGCTTCGGACGGCAAGCTGCAAGGCTCCCCAGTAAAGGGGGGGGGCAGAGATGGTCGTCAGATGGAGACAACCCTCTGGGAGAGGCGGTTCCAAGGCAAAACAGCAGATGCTCAGCAGCCAGCATCTCACGTCTACCTGGAGGTCCCGAAGGACAGAATGCCAGGGGTTTTGAATCCTGCTTCCCTGCAGAAAACCATGGGGTATGCAGGATCGCGGTGGGGTCCTTCGGCTACTTTGGGTGGCGGGCCCTCAACTGCCCGCTGGAGAGAGCCAGGTTGGGCCCTCCCTGAAATGATTTGGAGGAGATGGGTGGGAGACTGGTCCTCAACGTGGCAGGCGCTGGAACCGGGGCACTCGGCCAGGGCTGCTCCCCATGAAGGCCGTTTCCACGGGAGGCAGAACTTGGGCATAAAGCCACCACCAAGAAGACCCCCCACTCACCCACCTTGCTTTGGGTCATAAGCCACCACACCTCCCGCCTTCCCCCGGGCTCTGCCCTTTTCCATTTGGCTATGCAAACCCTCTGATTTCCTCAGCCAAATAATGCCGCGTCTCAGATTTGCCTGGGAACACCTCTGCCCACCTCAGAAGGCCGCTCCGGGTTGCGACCGCAGCCTGACCCGGTTGCCGTTCGGGGGAACCCAAGCCAAAGTCCGATTTGCTTCCGGAGACACCCTCGGTGGTGTTGGTGGTGGTGGTGGGTCTGTGTGTGTTTAGACTGGCCCACCGATCCTCCACGAAACCACTTCCACCAACCCATAACAAACTCTTTCCCTGCAGCTCCGTTGTACGTACAAGGAGGTGTCCGTTGTTGTCTTTAACAACACAACCACCGTGCAAGGGAGGCCAATTTGAGGCAGGCAGCGGGAGAAAGAAGGGACACCCAAAGGAACAGCCCATCTGCACGATATAGAATTAGACCAGTTTGGGACCAGTTTAACTAGCCTGATCTCATCCCGGCTCAATGTACACAAGGACCCGGGAGAGGAATTTCCAACCAGCCCTGTCGTTCCAAGGCGCTGGTTTGTATGCAGGCCCTTCCCTCCTTCGTCAACCAACGATTGACATGGGACAGAACATCTGGAACAGGACAGGCGGGCGCCAGTTTCACCTACAACAGCTGGAAAACATCAGGTTCTCTCTCTTTTTTTTCGCACACAGACACAGAAAGCTAAACTGCGCCCCAAAACCTGTCTCTTCCAACACACAAGCCAGGTAAGAGGAGCCTTCTCGGTTGATGGTTAGAAACTTTTATTAGAATTAGCCAAAAAGCAGCAAACATCCCCAATCGACAACCACACTCATTGGAAACTCTTAATGAAACCGCTAAACGAGCAGCAGGATCTCACACACATCCGCACGACGCACACAAGTACATTTCTGCATTGCAACCGTCAGGCTCAAAACGCATCCCGTTCCACGCCGATCCAAAGGATGGTCTGTGAAGAATTAGTTAAGCCAAACCGGCTCGGTTTTGTTCCGAACGTGATCCAGTGTCAAGACTTCCAGTGTCACACAAATCTCTGGCGCTCGAACTCTCGCGGGGCTGAAACTCCTTTTGCATACAAAAATATGTCAAAGGAGAGGCCGCTGGCATGAAACAAAACTGGCAAGTAGTCAGTGCTTTTATTTGGACGGACTAAAATTCCCCCCAAAGCATGCAAACTTTTGAATGCTACAGCACTCTTCAACAAATCTAGGTGATGCAGGTCTACAGGAACACTGTTATCTTGGGCTGGAGTTTAACTGCAAAGTTGACTCTCCTGCCACATCTGACCCGAGAAGGTGGCACATCCAAAGCTTTTCTCTTCACCTAAACCCTGCTTTGGGCCAACGGTGCCTTGAGATGAAGGGTTCTGGAGAACTCAAAAGCCTGCACAGTTGCAGAATTATAATAATTTTTTTAAAAACAGAAAAAGACAAAAGCCCAGCCTGCGGATTTCGTTTTGTTATTGCAGATCACCATAGCGATGCTTGTTTTTATGTTAAAATAAGGAAAAGGTGTCCTATAAGATACAGCAGCGTTTGAACTGTGGAAAGGATGTGCCAAACAAAAAGAAAAAGGGAAATCATTTTTGAGATGGCTTTTTCCAGTGTGTTCGAACGTACCTCTAACCGATGCAGAGTGTGTTCCCCACCCTCCCTTTCCCACCCCAGTGGAAGGAGAGGGTGAGGAGAAGAGGCACAGCTTAAAAACAGAGAAGAAAGGGACAAAATATTTGGAATTCAGGCTACAAACATTTAAGAGGGGCATATTCAGAAAGCCTGCACGTCTCCTCCGACAACTGGAGCTGGCGTCCAGGTGTGGGGTGGTATTTTTTGTTGAATTTCCAATCTACGCTGTTCGTTTTTTCCAAAGGGAAGCGATTCTACCCTGTTTTGGAAGACTACCCCAAAATGGGACATCAAGAGGAGGTTCCTACGAACAAAGGTCAGTTCCTAATGATTTCTGTGCGTTAGGAAAGACTGCCAAGGCCTGTAACAGATCCACCACTTCGTACGTAGTGGCTCCTCGGGAGAAGGCACGGCTGAGCATCATCATTGCATGTAGGGGTATTTCCAGTCCCCCAGAGGCGCGTGGGTTTCTTTGATGGCCAGCGGAGAGGTCCAGCGTAAAATATAGAGTGGGCTCCCCGGTTTGTCATTTGTGCCTGTTTTAAAACATTAAACAAACAAACGTTGTGATGAAACATGTTGATAGGTGGAGCTCCTCCCCTTTGGCCTTCAGCCCCGCCCACTATGATAATATGCCCCGCCCCCAAACTGAGAACTGGATTTGAATACAGCCCTAGTGCATCGATGGGGGATCATAACTTTCTCTCTCTGAACCTAGGCTGACGTCCTTCTGTGTTCGTCCTCAACGTACCCGAAGCGCGAGAGCCACCAAACGGCTGCTGGGCCACAACGGAGCCGGTTGATTTGTCGTTGATGTAGAAATTGCCGGCCGCGTTGCGCAGGAGCTTCCTGGCTTCGGCAATGACGGTGCTGTGAGAATCAAGGCGAGGAAGAAAGAATCAAGTTGGCGGTGGAACAGGGTTATCGGAGTGAAGGAGAGAGGGAAAGAAGAAGAATCATCAAAAGTATCACGAGGACTTGGTACGTCGCAGCCCAAGAGAAATGGTCGGCGTCAACTCCAGCATCCCTAGCTAACAGGGGCATTTTGGGGGATGATGGGGACCGGAGTCCAGCCATGAGGAAGACCAAAGCAAGAGTCAATGAAAGAGAGAAAGGCCGGATCTTGGAAAGGAAAACAAAACGTGATATATTTCCAACGGAATGGCGTTCCTCTATCAGAGCAGAACTGACCAGGAGCTTTATGGCACCGGGAAGGTGAAGAGGTTTTATCCGGCATTCGCTTCCAGGAGGCTGAGCCCACTCGTTCAGAGTGGCTTCCGTGGATCATACAGGGCCACAGACAAAGCCCACGAGCTACAGCCCGCACAAGCCGTGGCCGAATCAAACTTGGCAAGTTTTCGAAGGTGGCAGGAGGCTCTCACAAACATGACCAGCGAGGCAAGAAACCCGAAGCTGGACTCGAATCACCCAGCTCTCTTGGAAAGAAAGAAGGGGCTTGGAAATCCAGATTTCCACCCACCTTGGGAAAAAATATATTAAATGCTTGCAGGCTCGCTCCCCAGGGCACTGCGAGGACCGCCTCGCACACGACGGGCGCCTCTGCGGTGGGGGGACGAGAGGGAGGCAGAGAAGTGGAAAGAGGACCCAAGGGAAAACCTCAGGACTTACTGATCCTGGGCGAACACCGCCCCTGTGAGGCCATAAGGAGAAGTGCTGTCTATCAGCCGGAGGACCTCTTGGTACTGCTTCTCCGGGTAGACGTACACCGCCAGGATTGGGCCAAAAATCTCCTATACATGGAAGAGAAAAATAATAATAAGCAAAACCGACGGCTGCCCAAGTATCAGCTGAGCTTGGGGGATAAAGAGCAGGTCTAAGCTCTGCTCGGGAGGGGGGGCAGACGTGGTCGAGCGTACGGGCACACCCTGTTTTTGTTAGGCGAGCCTTTGAAACGAACCAACGGCTGCCCAAGTATCAGCTGAGTTTGGGGGATACAGAGCAGGTCTAAGCTCTGCTCGGGGGGGGGGGCGAACGTGGTCGAGCGTACGGGCACATCCTGTTTTTCTCTGCAAACAAACGGGGAGCGTCCGACGTGGCACCTTCCCAAGAGAAAAATAATAATAAGCAAAACCGACGGCTGCCCAAGTATCAGCTGAGCTTGGGGGATAAAGAGCAGGTCTAAGCTCTGCTCGGGAGGGGGGGCAGACGTGGTCGAGCGTACGGGCACACCCTGTTTTTCTCTGCAAACGAACGGGGAGCGTCCGACGTGGCACCTTCCCGTGGACTCACCTCTTGCATGATGGGATCCTTCGGGTTTTTGGTCTCCACAATGCAGGGCTGGACAAAGTAGCCGATTCGGTCGTCGCACCCGCCCCCGGCCAGGATGGAAAGGTCAGGCGACGTCTCAGCGTGTCGGATCCACTTCCGGGCGCGCTCGAAAGACTAGACGGGGCAGAGAAGAACGCCCGTCGGTGACCAAGGGCCTCTCCCTGGCGTCATTGCTGGCCACTCCAGAGGAGGCCCGAAAGCCGTCAAGTAAAAAACAGGGCCTCCTCGGTAGGGGCCCCGGGCTTCGGAATATCTATCCAAAGCAGGTGGCCCTCTTCCTCTTGAGCTTCCCAAAGCCCATTAAAAGTTGCCTCATTTCCCAGGCCCTTTGGGAACCTTTGACCTTTTAAAATTTTATTTCTGAAGTCCTGTTGCATTGGCCCTATGTGGTGGTGGTGGAATATTGCCTGATTCACTTGAGATCTTGTGATCTCAGTTGGAGAGGAGGTTTTTAGAATGGATTCTTGATCAAGTAAAAAACAGGGCCTCCTTGGTAGCGGCCCCGGGCTTCGGAATATCCGTCCAAAGCAGGTTCAGCAGATTCACTTGAGATCTTGTGATCCCAGCTGGAGAGGAGGTTTTTAGAATGGATTCTTGGTTGGTTTTCTGGATGTTTTTTTTTTTTTAATTTATTCTCTTATTTCACTTTGTAAATTTAGGTTACTTTTTGTGGTTGCCCAGAGTAGCGGCTAGATGGGCAGGGTATAAATCCAACAGACAAATGAAGAAACAATTTTTTAAAAAAAATTAAAGGAATAAATGAATCAATCAATCAATGTTCTACGCAGCACTTCTAACTCCTGTTGAACTTTGCTAATAAACAGTCAATTTTTCAAAAGTGCAGTTTTAGATGCTTGCGATCATCCTAACCAGAGCTCAAGAAGGTTCTGGCTTTTGGGGATGATGCTCCCCAGAAGGGACCACCAGTTTGGTTGGAGAAATCTCAGAAGCTTGGCTAGCTCAGGGGCTGAGAGCCAGAGGTTAGGTGTTCGAATCCCCCACTGGGCTTCTTTGACAGGGGCTGGACCTCATGATCTCATAGGGTCCTTTCCAGCTCTGCCATGCTAAGATGAGGATGATCACAAACAACAGAAAACAGCAGCTCTTCAAAGTTCTGCTCACTGCCCGCACTTGAGGACCGGCGTGCGCAAGAACCCAAGTTTAAAAGCGAAGAGTTCAAAGCCAAGGAAATCAAGACCGTCCGGAGTGCCCGGGAGGCGAAGAGGAGGCTGGGAGCCGGAGCCTGAAGGCCCCCCCCCAAAGGAAGTTCCCTGCACGGCCAGTTCTCAGCCCCCCGAACTCTTCAGGGTGTGACAGGAGATTAGCCACATTCAACAGGAGGAGCGGAAGACTTCAAAGAAGCTCCCGGCGCTGGGAAAAAGAGAAGCGTGCAGGCAGGCAGGCAGGCAGGCAAGCGAAGGAACCGTCTGGGGATGTGGGGCGCCGAGGAGAGAAGAGGGACGGGGTTATCATTATTGACAGATGCCTACTCTTAAGCTGTGAAAATACGTTTTTAAAGAAAGTCTTTCCTGGCTCAGCTGTAATCTCAGCAGGGCTTCGCGTGGTGGGGAGAGAAAAAAGACGACGTGGAGGGGGGGGGAAAAGGCTCAGCTCCTGGGAGGCGGAGATACGAAAAGCGACGGGGTGAGGGGGTGGCTGGTGGAGAGGAGAAGCAGCGCAGATCCGGGAAGAGCCAGGGGGACGGAGCATGGGGACACACACACACCCCGAAAGGGGAAAAGGCTGGATGGCATCTTTGGGGGAAGGGGGCCCTTCTTCCCTGACCAACACCCACCTGGGTCTGGGCTACAACACCCATCGTCCTCCACAAGTGCCCAGGCTGGCTGGCTGGGGATGATGGGTGAGAGGGTCCCGGGTCGACACAAGGGGCAGGAGCCAAAGGTGACTCGCCTACTTTGCAAACATGGGGTCACATATAGGATGAAAGGAAGCATATCATATATCATATGAAATTGATAGTTGATACACAACCCGATACGATACAAATACAGTTCAACCCTGTATGACACAAACCAGCCACTGAGCTGCCATCGTTTTGCTTCTCAAGCCTGATCCCCTTTTTCTCATTTCTACCCCTTCCCTGCAGCTTAGCTTGGGATCCCGTGATAGGGACGTAGGCTGTGAACCTAAAGGAATGCCCGGCTCCCTGACGAGCCTTCGTGTTCCCTGGAGGCTTTTCGCTGGGCGTTGCCTCCTGTTTGAGCGAAGACAGGGCTTTGCGACGTCCTTTTCAGCATTTTTCACCATGCTTGTGAAAAGTTTTTAAAACCCTGTCTGGAGGGGTGCATCTTGCACTGACAGCTTTCTCTTCCTGGAGGAAAAACTACATTTGATTCCCAAGCTTTGATGTGATGTGAACAATCCGCCTCTCTCTCGCGGCAGGCTCACAAAACATGTCAGCCACATTCCAAACACACATTAAAAGGTGGGCTTTCCGAAACCCTTGTGTCTTAACGGTTGCATGATTGCTGGTTTCTATTATGATGGATTGGTTCCACAGCATTATAATTCCCCTCTGTTTTATTTATTGCATGGATGTTCTTTGGGTGTGCATTTCACCGGGAGATGCTTATTTATATGAAAGCAAAACAAATAAATAAATATGCCCATGGGGTGGGGTGGGGGATGAATATGATTTGGCTATGACTGATGAAGATCAGAGGGTTAGCTTTGTGGGTTTTGTTAAGGCTTCTCCCATGACATTGCTCCCATTGAAATAATTGGGGCATGTGGATAATTTTTGTTTCCTTCTGATGGAATGAGGAGAAGGGTTTTTTTAAATTTATTTTATTTTTATTTTTTGTTCTCAGTGGACAGGGAATGAGACATTTGCAGGGTTGAATTTTCCCTCTAAGGTGTCCAGTTATAAAATCTGGCCCGATCCTGAATTGTGGCATTTCAAAGCTACAAGGGCCAGCGGATCCACGGAAAGCACAGCCGGCGTCCAAAAGGAGAAAGGGGATTGCGTGCGAGAGACAGAGGAGAGAGGCCCCCCTTACCTTGTGGTCAATGACGGCAGAAAAAAACACTCCAAAATCCTCCGTCGGCTGCAGAGGAAAAAAAAAGACAGAGCAAAAAGTTACAGGAGGTAAAGCAGCCCATCTTTTATTGAGTTGGGCTCCCGGGCTATATGGGCCATTGACTCAGGGGAAAGAAACTTTCTGACTGGCCACGATCCCTCTGGGAGATCAGACAGAAAAGGAAGGACGGTCCTCCCAGAGCTTGTAAAAATTACTTTTCAGGGGCTGGGATTTTCTTGCAGCTGTAGTCGAAAAATAAAAAGCACCCCTTCAAAGTCTGGTCCTCTCCGTTTCTCCTCCTGTTGCGGCCGCCCTCTTTCCTCCATGGGTGATTTTGGCTCCCCCCAAGGTCCCATGAGATTGGGCCAAGGGCTGCACAAGATGCGGGGCAGCCAGTTGCCCACCCTTTGGTCCTCAGTGAACATGGCAACACAGGGCCCTTCTGGAATCCAGGCGGCCTTACACGGAGAGGCCAGAAATGAGAGCACGGATCTCCCCATCTAAAAGAGGCACTCTAAAACGGAAGGATCGGCGTGCTCCTAACACAAGATTCTAGTCCTTGTGGGTTCTGAATAATGAAGAGCCGGGCAGGAGAAGATCTCATGGCCACGTCCTGTTAGGCCATGAGGGGAAAGAGGAATTAACACTCTGACTTAAGAGAAGGAGGCTTTTAATGAGAAACAGCCAGAGGTGGAGAAGCTGCTTGGGGAACCAACATCCTCACAAGCCCCTCTTAACTGTAGCACCAAGAAGAGTTCAAAAACACAGTGGACAGTGCTGATCAGTGTAACAAACATGTTCTAGCCCTTTTCATCTCCACCAGGACCAGGTCTTTTGCAAAGCTAACGGCTCTTCATGACTCCTTCTAGGAAAAAGCACCACCAAAATCCTTTCCCTCAATTCCATGATCGCTCGCCATGTTCTGTCGCTGGTCTGAAAGAGTATGATATACCATATCATGCAACTGCTTTCCTTTGGGGTTTTAAGGGTGGCTTTGGGGGTCCAGTGACCCCCCCTTCCTACGCCAATGCAAAGCAGCCTTACTCCTGGCGTGGGGTAAAAACCTCAAAAATATATGTATTCTCTCCCTCCGAAAGGCATGGGAGTGCCCACCCATCCACCCCCGGGGACTGGAGAGCCACACAAAGATGTTCTTGGGAGTGGGTGTCACACACTTTGCATTTTATCCACCCCTGATGAAAAGGGTGGGGGGGGGCCAAGAGGGACCCTCTTTTAATTAGTCTCCGGCAATGGCCTCTTTTCTCGCTGCTCCAAGTTCATTGCTAAGCACCCAAAGAAAGAGTGAGCGAGAGCGAGAGAGAGCGAAGGACGCGCACAGCGTATCAGGGGTGGCGGCGGTGGCGTTTCGCGAGAAAGCAGGGAGGGGGAAACCACGGGATAAAGAGGCGCCTTCAATGGGAATTAAGCAGCCAGCGAGAGCAGCCTCTAATCCCATCAGCCGCCCGCTGAGCCGCAAAGCCCCTTCAGCGGGAGAGCGGCCCCCCGACTCACGTCGCCCACTTTGATCTTCTGGTGCTCCTCCAGGAGCTCGGCTTTGATGCGGGGCCACAGCGCGTCAGGGGCGTAGAGGCGGGAGCAGGCCGAGCACTTCTGCCCGCCGTACTCGAAGGCCGAGCGCAGGGTCCCGCTCACCACACTGGGCACGTCGGCCGAGGCGTGGACAAAGTGGAAGTTCTTCCCGCCGCACTCTGGAGAGGAAGAAGAGAAAGCCACGGATGTTGTCGGATGGGATCGGGGGGGCCCCACAACCTCAAAAAAGGGGACAGCGGTCCCGACCGTTACCCGTATCCCTCCCCGGCTTTGGGCAAAAACCACCTTTTGCGGCTCGGGGGGAGACTTTAAAACTTCGGCTTTGCTGAGATCCACTCCCCAGCTCCAAAAAAATCAGTCCAAAGCCCTTTAAAGGAGGCCAGGTGACTTTCACACCCTGCTTGATATCAGACGCAATCTTGTGCCTTTTCAGGCAGTGTTTTGTGGGAGATCCGAAGGTTTTTAAGAGTCAGTTCCAAGTTTGAGGAGCCCCTTCCTCGGGTCGGTTTCTTTTCCCACCGTGCACTTGGTGGGATTCCGCCCCACGACCCCCTTCTTTTCCCAGAAGGCACTGGGATTACTTCCTGATAACATTCTGGGCTCCCCCTTTTCCATCACAAACTCCGTGCCCTCCCACCATGCTCTGGATACCTTCTGCATCCTGCCACGGAAAGAAAGTCCGGCCACTTTCCAAGGCACAGTGGGAACTTCGCCTGGAGAATGACTGCCTGAAATCAGACACTGCCAACTATGAACCTCTAGAAAAGGATCTGAGTTACTCAGGAATTAGGCAGGGCTGGGAAGTGGGGGCATCACCTTTGAAGATTGGCAACCGCTTCTGGACCTGTATTGGTAGGCGAATCTAGACGAGGGAAAGGAAATCGGCTACCCTCCAGGTATTCTGAACTACAATTCTCATTATCCCCCAGCATGCCACCTGGGACTGATGGGAGCAGCACTAGAGGAGACTAGATTCTCTGCTCTCATACAGGATATATAAGGCAGTAAACAGCCATTCCCTGATAACCACACAGGTGTGGAAGCCGTGGCCCTCCAGATGTTGTAGAACAACTTTTCCCATCCTCCCTCACTGGAAAAGGCTGATGGGCACTGGAGTCCGACAGCATCCAGAGGTCTCAAAGCTCCCCAGCAGCAGGATAATCCGCAAAGGGACGAGACGGATCGCTGCCCCTCTTTGATTTTCTGGACTTTTGCTCCTTAACCTCCCTTAACCATCGGCCACACCGGCTGCTGGAGCTGAAGGGCCAAACCTCTGCATGACCTGATGTTGGGAACCCGGGAGGCAGGAAAATCTGCACCTTCGCCCATAACCTCTGAGAAGAGAAGAGAGACCAGATATCTCAGGATGCTGACCTCCAGCAAGCCTCGGGAAGGTGCGGTACTGATCCAGGTTCTCTGAGACCTGCTTCCAAAGGCGTTTGAAGGTTCTAAGAAAGAGAGAAAGGACTTTGGTGAGGTGGTGGTGGTGGTGGTGGTGGTGGGCTCCAGAAGAATCTGGGCAAGAATCAGTGACACAACCGGACACGGCCAGAGATGTTTTTTAAAAAAACGTCTCTCCCAGTAGCCTCCTGGTCCTTTTAGCCAAGCCCACCCCATTTTTGCATCGTGGTAAAAATAAAGTGAAGAAGAAACCGCTCAGTCACCCCTTCCCCCTTATATTTTCAGGTTTCCACAATCCTCCATGAGAACTAGAAACCTGAAAAAATCAAAAGCTGGCATGCACAGATACCGAACGTCTTTGCCGACACTGTGCGAGCCACTTAAGGTCTGCGAGAAGCTGCATGAATAGATATGTTCTTTCTTGGTGGGGGGAGGCATCCAGGCGGAAGCCGGCTCCTTCCACCCTCCCACCCTCTAGTCCCATCTCGGCTTGCTCGCTCGCAATCTCCGGGGTCTCGAAAGACTATTAAAACCACCGAGGCTGCCACGAAACCAGCGAACGCCACGCTCGGCTGCGCTCTGCTCCTTAAAAGGTGGGGAGCTCATAAATTAGCAGCCGAGCGTGGGACTCCTGTTGCGAGGGCATTAGCATTTTTATTGTTTTGAAAAGCAAGAGTTTGGTCACACTTGAAATCAAAAAGAAGAGGCATCTATGAAAGAGAGAGAGAGAGAGAAAAGAAATGGAGAAAGCGAAGCACTTCTCTTGCTTTCTGTTTGGATTTGCTGCAGACAGGAAGTGGCACTCCACAAACAGGAAGTTGAGCCTCCTTTACATCAAACTTCGAGGACGTGGTCACTGACCGAGAGGGAAAAACGGGACAACCCTCCTATCCGGTGGCCAGGGGATTTTGCATTCAGCTTTTTCTTTTTAAGGAGCGGATCATAAAAATCAGCCATTTGCCCAGCATGAACACCCACACTGCCCCAAATTCACATCATGCAACTCCTCGGCAGGAAATCTGCAGCCAAAGCAACGTTGACGGCGGGGCCACCAACTTCTGTATCAAACTTCCAATGAAGGAGAACAGACCTCTTTCTGGGACGGATCGTTCTGCCGTCGAACAGCTCTTGCCCTCAAAATGTTCTTTCTAATGTTTAGTCCCCCTCTCCTCTGTTTCGCATCGAAATTCCCTTGGCTCTGCCCAGCTCTCCGGGACAAGAGAAAACAGCCTCACCCCCATCTCCTCCGTCAGGGATTCTCAAGCTTGGGTCGCCCAGATGTTCTTGGACTACAACTCCCAGAAATCCTGGCCTGCCCAGCTGGTGGTGAAGGCTTCTGGGAGTTGTAGCCCAAGAACATCTGGGGACTCAAGGTTGGGAACGACCCTCCGAAGGGATACCTAGAGACAGTTCTCGTGGTATCTCTTGGTCTTCTCTTCTACAGGTACAAACGCACCCATGTCTCTCAGCCAGGCCTTGGTTTCTGGGCTCCAAACCATGACCAGGAAAGCATCTCTGGCTGTGCAAAGCCCGAGCAGAGAGCAGCCTCTCCAGCTTCTCAGCCACCTGGCTGACTTCCACGCATCCGACCCCAAAACCACCCAAAACGCCCAAGCGGCAAGAGGAAGATTTCCACCCTCAAGCCCAGGATCTCCAGCCAACAGCCCACACTCACGGCACGCTGCCAGTGAAGTTGAGCCCGCACAAATGCTCCGAGCGGGTCACCGTGTCTCCGAAAACGGGGCCATCCGCCGGGACGAACTGGATGACGTTGGGAGGGAGCCCAGCTTCCAGAAGGATCTTGTAGACAGCGTAGCTGGACAGAATGGCCGTGTCGCTGGGCTTCCAGAGGACCACGTTGCCCTGGAAGGGGAAAGGAGGAACAGAGGGGGAAGAGCAAATGAGATTAAGAAAAACAGTTTCCAGCATCCTCTGTGAAGGTACTAGTCCTCATGGTGACTAAGAGAACATCTGATCCACAGCAAGAATGCCACCAGTGAGAATACAGAGGAGGACTGCCCTCTGCAGGGGCTCGTTTAGCCACTGTATGACCCAAGGCTGTTAAATGGAACCTCCTGCATCAGGTGAAGTCTACCTCCAAATGTCAACTGATTGCCACCATTTCACAACATAAGATACGGATCTGATCCAACATAGATCTCCTGATGTTGGTTCTTTGCTGCTGCTTCCTGGGTAGCAGGTTCGGGGAAGCCGCCACCCTTAAAAATAACTTTTCTTAACTCTGTGTCTCCCTTGTGAGGGCCTTTTTCAGCACTGGTCATGACCATCCAGTTCTCTCAGAGATTTTAGGGCCCGTTTTAAACAACTTTTTAAAACTCCCTGCTAACATTTTCCCTTTTTAGTTTTACTGCACAAGGCAGCTGCTTTCGATCTGATTTGTGATCATTTTTATTCAGGTTTCATAGGGCATGCTTTTAATGGAACATCCAGAAAGGCTTGGTTGCTCGGCAGTTTGAAAACGGAGGGGATAAAAAAGCAAAAATAAAATGTAAATTTAAAAATAAAAATCAGATCAGCAGGGATTCTCAGCAGAAGAGAGAAACCTCTGGTGTTTAAAAAGCTCGGAAAGTTACTTTCAAAAAGTAATTTCTTGAAAAGGAAGCTGCTCGCTCTTCAAGAACCCTTCAGGGGGAGGAAGGGAAGACTGGCACGTTGGAAGTTACTTTTTTAAAAAGATGTTTTTAGGCCTCGAAAATGAAGGCCTTCGGTCCTTTTGGGGAGAAAGGTGGGATAGCAATATTTTAAATAAATAATTCGTTCATTCCTTATGCATCATTGCAGTGTTCTAAAAAGTAACTTGTTGTATTGTTTAGTTACTTTTCTTTTTTGGGGCGAAAGTAATTTAATGACAGCACAGAACTTTCTTCTAACAGAAGCAACTTTTGGAAGTAAGTGGAGAAAGTGATTCATGGCTCCGGGAACTAAACTTCATTCTTATCCAGGGTGCTTGATCTTCACATGTGGATCTTGGGCTCTGCCCTTCTTACAAAACAAGAAGAAAACTAGTTACAACTAACTGCTTTACTTGTGACAAATGACGATGCAACTGGTCATTTATTCCTTCTACAAAGGCTTGCCTGCTCAGATGCTCACCATCAAAGCGGGAGCTCCCGCCAGGTTGCCTCCGATGGCAGTGAAGTTAAAGGGAGAGACGGCAGCCACGAAACCCTGCAGAAGTGGAAAGAAAAGGATGAATTACACCGTGGCGTCGAAAGCCTCTGAAGGAAGAGAGAAAGCTTCCCGGCAGACGCACGTGGACGTCACTCTCGTTTATTTATTTTTTTGCAGAAGAACCTTCAGTGAGGGTGCCACGCTTCGGAGATTATAAAACCCGCGGGAAGCAGGATTAAGGACCCCTCCCCGGTGGATCTGAGCTCTCGTCGGGACGAGAAAGTAAATTAAAATAAAGTTTCTACTCCATGCCTTGCACGGATCTCCTAAAAGGGATGCACGCATCGTCCGTTGAACAATCAACAGGCAGAAAACTATGGGAGAAGAGGAATGAAAGAGACGTTTTTTAGGAACGGGGTGTGAAATTAATCCCCTTAAGTCTTTGTGCTTACACACATATAATGAAGAAAACTAGATTTTAAGTCAAGGGAACACAGGACCATTTGGCTAAATCAGGGAGTTACACCACCTGCAAAGGGGCGGTTGTGAAGTTTAGAAGAGGGATCGGAAAAACAACAGGGCAGGCTGGCTGGGGGATTTGGGGATCTGTAGTCCGGGGGGGGGGGGGATCCCCTTAAGTCTTTGTGCTTACACACATATAATGAAGAAAACTAGATTTTAAGTCAAGGGAACACAGGACCATTTGGCTAAATCAGGGAGTTACACCACCTGCAAAGGGGCGGTTGTGAAGTTTAGAAGAGGGATCGGAAAAACAACAGGGCAGGCTGGCTGGGGGATTTGGGGATCTGTAGTCCGGGGGGGGGGGGGGGGACGCCACATTTCCGANGAAGTTTAACAAGCAAGGCACGATTAGAATAACATAATAAATACAGTTAAGAACACAGTAGTGTACGGTACTCAAAATCAGCTAAGCAAGTAACTGCCATTTAAAACCAATTAAAAACACAGCCAGGAAGACAACTCCCAGTGGAGGACTACAACCCCCACCAGCCACCACGGGGCAGGGAGGATGGGAGTCAGAGTCCCAGGTCGTCCAGGAGGCTACACATTCCCACTCCCCCATTGCCCGAGATCCCGTCTTCCGGCCTACCTCCAGACCTCGGTAGACCATGGCATTCGTGCTGGGGGGAACGCTGAGCGGCTGCTGGCCCTCCAATTCCAGGGCGTATTTGGCGTTAAAGCGGAAGAAGTCAATCAGCTCGGCGGCGGCATCGATTTCCGCCTGGATGATGGTTTTCCCCTGGAGGGAAGGAGACGGAAGGGAGGAGGCCGTTTGAGGAACAGAGAGAGAGGGACCTTTTGATAAACAGGGTCGGGAACTAGCAGCCGCCCCTCCAGGGACCTGGCCCGAGGGAGAGATCAGATTTCCCTCGACTATGCAGGTCAATACCAAGGCTTTCAGCCTCTTTACCAAGTTGGGGGATTTACCTACACCTTCGCCTTTGAAGATTTTTCGCTCTGCTCATCATGAGAGAGGTGCCGCTTGGCGCTTTCAGACCACCACACCTCCAGAATTCCCCCCCCTCCCCGAGGCAGCCTTCTGGGAGTTGTAGTCCAGCATTTTGCCCTGCCCTTTCCCACCCTCAGCCCTCCACAGGTTTGGGGACTCCCAGACGCAGCATCCCCGCCTACTGGCCAAACGAGGCTTCCAGGGGGTGGGGGTGGATGGGATTGAAGGTTAAAAGTTGAGAATCCCTGGCGCAGGACTTCACGGGTCGGGCTGAGAAGTGGGAGAGCCGGGTTCAAGTTCCTCTTGAACATCCATCGGGGGAGCGTGGGGCAGCGGGTCCCTCCCCATCTCTCAGCAAGATGACCTCAGTGGGGTGTTGCCAGGAGAAGGGGGGCCAGAGACGCCACAATTAAAAAAAAACTACTAACGAATAATAAAATGAAGATCAAAACAGCCAGGGTGGGATCCCCTCCCTTATAAAAGCAGGAGGAAAGAGGGGAGATTAGCAGCGACCCCACACAGGGGTTGCGAGCCCTCCACAGACGTACTTGCCCGATCATGGTCTTGGCGAGGATTTCGGCCCTCCTGGGCCCACTCAGCAGGTCGGCGGCTTTGAAGAATATCTCGGCGCGGTCCTGGATGTGCCGCAAATCCCATTCCTCCCGCGCAGCCAGGGCGGCGTTGATGGCCTTGTTGAGCAAATCCTCGTCGGAAAAGAGAAGAGAAACATTTCGGCAAGCAAGCTCCCAGAGAGGGTATTCCAAAAACAGAGGAGAGAAAGCCCCTCCCCCATAAGGAACCACGGGGGGGGGGATTCCCTCTCCCCCCGTGAAACCAGACACCTACCACGAAGGCTGGCTGCAAGCAAAACCCACCCCACCCCGCGGGCACCTCCAGCCTGCTGGTGGCTTTCAATGTGGCCGCCTTCCTTACCTTATCCGCATAGCAGTATTTCGCCACCTTATGAGAATGGTTAAAAGGCTGTAAAAGAAAGAAAGAACAGTGATGATGATGATGATGAAAGAAGATCCGTTTTAACCATTCTCGGCAGCAACACGACCCACATTTCCAAGGCCTTAAGTTTGAGAGCCAAACAAATTTATCCACGAATAAGAGTGTTATGGATAATAATTAAAGGACTGCGTTGATCCTGTGTTCACCCAACCCATCCACAATCAGCCTCATTGCAGGTGAGTTGGACAACCCCCAGGATCAAAAAAGGAAGTCTTTAATTACCAACGATCTCCACCTCTGGGATGACATTATATTGTGTTCGTTATATTACATTACATCTGAGTTTGCATTCTAGTCGTCCTTTTAGCAATCTTGAAACACACACAGATGCATTCCGGCTATTATTCCTACTATTATTTTTCCACATTTTCCTCTGTACTTTTTTTTTTAGCTTATCTGGAACTCAGCTGCCTTGAGTCCTAGTTTTGGGAGAAAAAGGTGGGCTGTAAGTCCCATGAATGGATGAATGAATGAAATATAAATGTCAACCAACTAGCGCAAATAAATGGCATAAATCAATGGCAGCCCGCGGAGGAATTACAACAATAAAGCTGGCATGGGCCAGTGGACCTCACCGACACTTGGTATCTCACGTCGGCCGTCCACACCTCCTCTCCCCCAACGACACACGGGATGGCTTCGGTTTTGCCTTTCAAGTCGCTGAGAGCCTTCAGAAGAAGGAAAATAAGCCTCAACAGATTTATTGCCAACACGCCTCTCAAACCAGGGGGGGGGCCATTCCTCAGTGCCAGGATTTCAGACCCTTCTTGTTTCCCTCGACCCCCTTTCTTTCTGCCTTTCTAAGCATTATAACCACACTGGGATACTCACTAGGGAGAATGCGGGCCCTCTAAAAAAGGAAAAAAAACCTTCAGCCCAACTAGGACCCCTCTTCATGTTTCCAACTACAACTCCCATGAGCCCCAGCCGGCACGACCAATGGTTTGGAGTGACGACAGCCGGAGCCCCAGAGGTCAGGAACAATTTTTGGTGCCGCGATTCATCGTGGGAAATCCAACCAGGTATGAAACTCAGCGGCTGATCGTGGGCCGTTCCCTCCCTTCTCAGGCCAGCAGCCCCAGATGTCAGGAACAATTTTGGTGCCGCGATTCAACGCGGGAGATCCAACCAGGTATGAAACTCGGCGACTGATCGTGGGCCGTTCCCTCCCTTCTCAGCCCGAGCTACCTCACAAGGTTGTTGTGATCACAGAAGTCAGGAGGAGAAGCAGGTATCCGTGCTGGACCCGTGGAAAAGCAGGATATGAACGTAACAGAGAAATAAAAACAAAATAGTCAGAAGCCTACCTTCTGGAGAGCCACACGTTCGGGGCTGCCGGGCATGAATCCCAAAATCGGTTCGTTGGCTACTTCGACACGACAGTGGTGCCATCGCAACCTGGGGGGGGGGCGGTGTCAGAGGAGAGGGGGGGTCGAGAAGAAAAAAAAAGGCAGGGATTAGCTGCACAGTCTTGAGCCCGGTTTAGAATTATTTTCTGCCTTAGTACTAGTCTGTACTGATCTGACGCGCTTTAAAAAAAAAAGCCACACACAACTAAGCTTACAAAATATTAGCAAAACCCTGGCAAACATTTCCTGTAAAGTCACTACCTGGCTCCGAACTCTCTTTTAATTCCCCCCCTCTTCCCCAGAGCCAAAGTCCAAAAGTTTGGTCAGCAAAACTGCACGCTCAAGCGGCTAAACCTGTGTATTTCGGTACAAAGTGTGACTTTCGCCACCCCGGGTAGCCCTTCTCGGGATTCAAACCTGCACTCTTTGCAGAGAACCTTATATCTGAAGACTCTCTTACGGCAAGAGATTTCGAAAGCAGAAGAAACCAGCCGCCTAAGTTTGCTTTTTAAAGACAACAGCCTTCCTTATCGCACCTGCTTCTTTTCCAGCGCTGATAAGTCTGAACACTCTCATTCATTTTGATAACAACCAGAAGTCGAGGTGTCGGAGAGATAAAAACGGAGCGCGCAGGGGCCGCTCCAGCCCTGATCAGAAAGAGGCCTTAAAGCAGGACCGATCACCCAATAACCTTAAAATATAGCTCCTAATTTTTACACCCTTTTTGTCTGTGTGTGTGTGTGTTATTTGTTCCTTAACTATTTCCTGGGGTCACTTTTTTGTGTGGGGGACAGCTTGAGAGAAACGTATTCGTTTAAAAAAAAAAAACACCCCAAGAATTTACTACTCAGGCCATTAAAATGCAACATTAATGATATGTTTTGGAAGGAAGGTCATCTTTTAACCTCGTCTGCGGGAGAAAAACTTCCACCTGCTGCAATTCGGGCTGGAACATTTCAACACAGGGATGACACAATTTTTTTTTCCAAACTCCTTACCCCACAGCATACCAAAAAAAAGTTCTGTTTTTTTCCAAAGGATATGAACTTGGTGAAGTGGGCGTCTCCCTGCATCCACCCCAGAGCTTAGGCATTCCTCTTCAAACTTTGCAACTTTTCCAGAGCGGGTTGGTGGATTCTGGGGCTTGTAGTCCAAAAATAGCATTTGCAAGCTCAGCGTCTCTTTTATTTTTATTCCCTCCTCCCTCTTTAAAAATCAATCAAACAATCCCAGGCCAAAGTTAAACTCTGGAAATGAAAATGCTTCTGAAGATAAAGAAGGGAGCAAAATGAACATCCCAGATGAGGAAGGTGGTCAGGGTTCTGCCCCACCGTGTGAAAAACGCCCTAACCTCACACCCTAAGCCTACAAAACGTATTTGCTAAAATTTAGCTAAAATTTAGGTGCTTAGCAAAAGTTTAAAATGTGAGAAGAATAAGGGAGGGGGAATTCATGCCAGGAGAAATATAAACCCTCCACCACAGAGAGAGAGACATATACAGCCTCAATAGAATAAAAATAAATAAGAATCGAAAGTGAAAAATTGGAGGGGCCCCCAAATATTAAACTGCAATAAAATAGGATAAAAAGGCATTTATTAAAAAAAAATTTTTTTAAAAACAGGGCACGTGGGTTTACACCTCTACAGAAGTGTGGGAAGGTGAATGTTATAAGAGGAACAAAAAAGAGAAAATTAGAGGAGAGGAACTGGGGACTTTCCAAGAGGTTTGTGGACTACAACTCCCATCCTCCGTGGTCCCTGCTCCTCTTGACCGAAGAATATTTGGACAGCCAGCGCCCCTTAAAGTTCCGTTTCACTTCTGGACAGCTAATATGGGTTTTTTAAAAAAATACCAAGCAGGACCTGGGTTTATGAAGAGTGCCAGTACCCATCGTCCTTGAAGCAGGGCTGCTGGGAGTTGTAATCCAATTCTAGGGGAAGCAGGAAGGCGAATCTCCCAGAGGGAACCTCCAAACTCTGGCACCCAAAAAAGAGTAATATATAAAACAGACCCCCCCCCAAAAAAAAAGTCATTTGAGACACCCACCTATCAATAAATAGGAAGATCTTTTGATCAATAGAAAAAAGGATTCCAGGTAGGACATTAAGGGGGGGGATCCTCTAGAGAGGGATCTAGTGGATCCCCCCATCAACAGCCCTTCCCCCCCCTTTCCCAAGCCCCAAACTCACCCCACTCTGGGAAGCACCTTGTGCAAAAAACGCAGCCACATCGCGGCTCTCTTTGGGGCGGAAAAAAAGCTGGGATTTGCAAACCCCCCTGCGAGGAAGCCGGAGCACGCCTGGAACCAACTCCCCCCCCCGCTTGAAGCTGGATTGTACCATTATGAGGGGAAAGGGGTGGCCAGGGTTTGGCCCGCCCTCACCCTGCCAGGAAGGAAAGGCAAACGAGGCTTTTCTGGGCGGCTGAAAGTCTTCCTTCTCCTCGGACTTTCGAAAATAAAAAAAAATCCGCGGTGCGCCGTCCCGTGCCCAAAGGGGCATAAAAAGGGAGAGATCAACACCCCCCAAAAACAAGAGTAGCAGGTGGTTTAGTCCTCCCCGCACCGAGGAAGGGGGCGGGAGCCGCCGCGGCCAATCAGGAGGCCGGTGCCTAAGATTCGGACCAATCAGGACCCGCTCTGAAGTAGCAAGCTCTCCTGGGGGGGTCAAAGAGGAAAGGGGAGAAAACGGTTTTTAAAAAGGGGGACATGCGCCTAAACTTCAGGGAATCCCTCGAACTAGGCAGGCTTTTCGCAATCAAGAACGACTCCCTGGAAGTTGTTTCTCCAGTTAAAATAGTTTTTAACGTTTTCATAGTTTTTTCCCCTCATTCCATGTAGTTTATTGTTTTTTAAATTATTATTTTTTTAACTACTGTGAGCCGCCTTCAGTTCCCCTTATTGGGAGAAAGGCGGCCTATAAACAAGACATAGAAAAATAATCCCAGAACGGCAGGGCTGGAAGGGACCGGGACGGTCTAGAATAGATCACAGAGTCCAGCCCTTGCCGAGGAGGCCGCAGGGAGGAATCGAACTCGCGGCCCCCGAGGGGGCTGATCCTCCTTCTTTTTCCCCACCGAGCTCCTTTTAAGGAGGAATGCCATGAATGGCATCTAGAGAAGGATCTCCTGGTGAATGTCACAGGAATGCACGGCTTTTAGCTATATCCACTTCCTTCCACCTCTCTCTTTTTTTTAAATGGACATTTGCTTTTGGGGCAGAGCTTTCTCTGTGAGTCATCAGCCTGGCATTGCAGTCAGTCATCTTCCGTTCAAAGGTCCTGCTTTTAACTGGGGTTTTTAAAAGTGGCTGCCCCCTTATTCCCCCAAAGTGAGTGGAAAAGGCAGCTGCCTGGGTGGGAATGGGGTCCCTTTCAAATGTAAAGAGGTGCCCCATGACCGGAATCAGTGTTACCTGCAGGAGGAAGAGGGCAACTGTGTGCTTCCTGCTGTGGATCGGGTGCATGATGCCGCCTGACTGGTTCTCCCCGTGAGGGGCTGGTGGGTTAGCCGTCTGCCTGCATTTGGAGGGCCCCCATCCCTGGGAGTGTCAGGTGGTGGGTGATGATGGGACATCAGGGCCCCACCAGCCACCGCTAGGAAGCTGCACATTTGGAAGCCATAGGCCACGAGGCTGACTCACGAGGAAGTGCCCCACTGATGCAGGTCAAGAAGCACTGGGTCACCTGGGAGCAAGGGGAGCCCCTGAAACTCGGGGAGAACACCTGCTGCCTGCCTCTGCCAATATGGCTTACGACAAGGCGCGATGGGAGTTGTAGTCCACAACATTTGGAAGTCAAATGGTTTCACAACCCTCCCCAGGGAGAAAGAAGGGCTCCCCTTGACCCATTCGTGGTTTCCTTCCATCTTCTGGCTACGACATTTTCCTTTGACAACCGACTGCCACTGTTCACAGCTCCTGGGGTGTGTTTGCTTCATTTAAAAAATTTCTTCCATTGAATATGCTTGATATAAACTTGGAATGACACTTACAAAACTGGGAGTTCGGGAGGCTTGCAGAGAAGCAAAGAAGGAACCTCAAGAGCAATCGAACTTCCCCGTGTTCCAGTTTGGGGTACAGAAGGGCTAGGGGGTGTGCAGTTTTCATTACAACCAACAAGAGACTTGTTGTATCTGCAGGCTAACCCATTTGTGACATCAGCATTGTGTTATTCTATCAAATGTAGTTGTGTTGGGTATCCGCAACTGTGTGTTCCATGCTAACAGGTTGTGGAGGGACTATACAAAGCTGCCTTGGGCATAGAGTTTTGAAAAGCGACTTGTTAGACTACAAGCCCCAGCATGCCCCCCCCCCAAACCAGCCCTGGCTCACCAAGGACACTGGGAGATTTCCCTCCTAGTCTGAGCAATCTAAAATTCTCAGGGATGTAGTTAAGCCATCTTATTCCAAGTCAGCTTCCTGCATTCATGTAAACCAGCAATGGAGTATGTAGAGAAGACCCCAATTCCCATCCTCCCTGGATAACATAATGGGTGTTGAGAGATGCTGGGAGCTGTGATTAAGTAGCAACCTACAGAGCCATAGGTTTCCGAACCTGCTCTACCACACACCCTAGAAGATGTTCAACTGAAGGGGCCCATTTTGTCTCACCCTAAACCCCGCTGGCCGTGCCTGATGCTGGTTGTGTGGCTAGTTGTGCAGTGAGTGTACTGTCAGTTGAACGCTCAACTGCACAACCTGCTGCGCAATCAGAGACAAGCAAGCTATTAAGATCCAGCAGCCCAGCCAGGAAAAAACAGCTCCCGTAGAAGACGGAAGGTCTCTATTTTGATACCGGGTTCACACTCGTAGGAGATGCACGAGAGAAAAGAACACACAAACACACAGAGAGAGACACAAATCTTCCAGTTACTAGAAGGTTTGGCATTTATTGTAAGGAGGGGAGTTCCCTTTAAACAAAGAATTCCCATAACCCGTTCCCCCCACCAACAAGCTCTGGGACCATGCCCAATTCACAGAGAAATCCGCCTGCAATGTGTATTACAGGAAATCAGGGGGATCAATGCCTCCCCCAAACAAGACATTCTTGAGCAAAAATGTTCAGACCTGAAGGGTGAACCACATTTCAGAAGCCTTCTCGCAGAAGGGAGGACCAGGGAAGGTCGTGAGAGGGTCCCCTTTTCTAAAAGGGGTACAAACAAAGGGGGCTGGGGGGGTTATGTGGGGCAGAAAAACCATCCCTCAAAGAGGAGGCAGGAATGGAGGGATGCTCCCCCCTTTCTGGGTACCCAATCCAAAGTGACAAAAAAACCCTTGTGTCCCCAATCAACACAGAGAACAACACCCCCATCAACCCCACACCCGTGCTTGGCCTACGACTGAGACACAGAGGAGGCCATCCAAAAATATGGGAGTGGAGAACGTTCCCTTACGCCTGGAAGTCCAGAATAGGGAGGGAGATAGACCCCTTTCTGGAGCAGGTTTAAGAATGGGTTCACCCTCAAGACCTTTGTTTGACAAGGGCACAAATACATGAAACCTGGTTATAACCCTCCCCACCCACCCACCCTCGTAAAAGGATGCTAATATACAGAATATAAAGCACAACTATGTACAACAATAAACGGTTTCATTCACACTCTTGTTAAGTAGTCAGTTTTCGCCACCAGAACAAAAAAATACTGAAGCGACTTTTGTCCTGATGGGGGAAAAGACCTGAAGGGAACAGGTTGATCTTATTCACCACCTTTTTTTTGGGGGGGGGGGGAACCTCTCCCTAAAACTGAACCACTTGTAAAAATCACACTGAACAGCATCAGGAGCTTATGCATGGCTTCTAAGGAAATCGTGATTAATTGGGGGAATCTTCTACCCCCCAATGTTTCATGACAAAGTCAGCTGTCTTTTCGAGCAAGGCCCAATCAAAAAGGCGCTCTGCTAGAATTACAATACCCATCAGCTGCAAAATATATATATATAACCTCCTAGGCACGTTTCAGGCAGCCAAGACAGCAAACACGCAGCAATTTTGTACCATGCTTTTTTATACAAGAACACCAGAGGCCTCCATTTCAAACCATTCCTGGTATAAATAAAGTGCTCCGCATAGGATTTCCTACCAGCAAGGTGGGCTAACAGAGCCACGAACAGTCACTGGCTCGCAGAAATCTTTAGTGGCCCACCTTCCCACTCATAGACCTTTGCCCATCATTTGTATTTCAAAAGGGGAAAGAATAGAAGACTCAACTTTGGTAAGGCAGATGTGGTTACCTGTCTAGACTCACTCTACTCACCACAGGCGACTAGCTAGCGACATGCCTCAAATAAGAGAATTGCAAGGAAGACCAGGCACAAACGTTCCTACGAGCAGCAGAATGTGAATGTCTCACCTACCTGAAGTTTTCTGCCTTGGCTGACCCCCGCGTCGGGAGGGCACCCTACCAATGACTGGTCTGGACATTTTGCAAGCAACCTGCTTAAAACCAGCTCTTTCCTGACAATCTTCTGCCAAGGCGCCCCACCCACCCCGGCCTCTCTCGGCTGGCCTGCCCTTCGCTCTCCCAAAGAGCCAAAAAAGAGTTGAAGTCAGCAGGAGACGAGAGCGTGGGCCTTGGCAGACAGACAGGTTTTCGAGATCCCCTTCCCCAGCCAGCTGGGAAGGAGACTGGGAAGTGTGTTAGAAGGAGGGAAAGCTTCTGGCTGCAAGAGGGGGGGGGGGGGCTGCTTCCTCAGCAGGGGGCGGAGGGCCACCCCATTCAAAACCCTCCGCTCAAGCCACAAGGGAGAATACTTTTCTAGTGGGAAGCTCGTGGAATCATCCTCCCAGTGTTCAAGGAAGGCATAAGGATGGAATGTGTAGTTTCTTGCCCCCCCCCGCGAGGTGGGCTGTTTGTGGCCTTTCAAATATTACCTGTCTGCCGCTCTCATCCCATCCAAGAAGAGCAGAGAACGGACAAGGGATCTTCCATTGTTCCATTCATACCTGCCTGTTGTTTTGTTTTGTTTTTTTTAAACTGAGTAATGGCTGTTTTCTGAACAAGCCCAAGGGGGGGGTGCCTCTGGGGAAGGAGACATGACCCTTTCCACTTCCTGTTAAAAAAAATACTCTGAATGGTCAATACTGGGCCTAAAGTTCCAAACCCCTACACTTGAGCACTGCAAGGCTTCAGTGGAACTAAGGACAGGAAGGTAACACTGATCCTGGGTGCAGCCAGTGATGTTTCTGTGACTGCAAACAGGCAAGAGCAGGACAGGACCAGCATGATGTCAACTGGAGTCTTATTGAAAAACTGCAATTTCTTCTATTTAGAAAAAGAAAAAGCCCAGCATGCTCCTCCATGTTATCTGGCAAGCATCACTGGCCCATCCCACTTGAAACAAGCAGCAGCACTTAAGAAGACAAAGGCATATTTTCAAACGCAACCCTCCCTTCAGATTGCTTTCCGCCAAACACTTCAAGGCAAACATTAAAAAAATAAAACCCACTTCTATTAGCTGCTGTCCGTTTGCACTGAAATGTGGACAGAAGCAGACGGCTGGGAGGACGGGGGTGCTTGGATTTAATTCCCCAAGTTCTCCTGCTGGGCAGAACAGTCATCTGATCTGTTTCAAAACACAAAAATCACACACCCACATTGAACACCCGATCTTTTATCTCGGCTTTTCAGGTCCCAATTAACACAGTGCACAAAGGAAAAGCAGCCGCTCCTGCCTCTTGAATAATATATATGGAGCGATGGAGCTGGCCCTCTAGCGGGAGGCCAAAAAAAAAAAAAAAAAAAAAAAAAAGTGGGTCAAGATTTCCTATTATTTTTCGTAACTGAAGGGAACGCAGGGACCACGTCCACCGAGTCACTGTTCAGGTATCTGTTCAGCACCTTCCACAGCGCTAACTTTCAGAGCTACCAATCGGGGCCGGAGGAATCTCATCGTGGCTTCTGGTCTATGACCTCGACCTCCCTTTGGGAACCAGGCTGCCTTCTTTAGCCATCGACTGAGCTGGGAAGAAATCATGGGAAACCCTCAAAAATGGATCTAGGCATTCTTTGGAAATTTTATTAGGTTGTTTAAAAACAACAACAACAACAACAACAACAACACAGGCATCTGCATAAAAAAAGGCTCAAGGCGCCTCCCTTCCAGATGCTGGCTGACAAACTCCGTTAGTAACCTGACTAGTCATCACTCCCTTTGCTAACACACAAAGAAAAATGGTTAGGTTTTGAATTTATTTATTTTTTTTAAAAAAAGATACCCTTAAAAACCCCAGGAGGAAACAAGACCTGTTCCCTATTTTGAAGACTTTTAAATAAGTGTCAATATGACACTGCCTCACAAATAACTAAATAAAGTATTTACAGCTTTACAGAAGTGGGGAGAAAGGAGGTCATTAAAATCATGTCCAGCATTTTCACAATTCCCCCCCCTACAAGCTTTTAAGCTGGTCATTACAGACATCTCAGCTGCACCTCTGCCCACTCTTCCACTAAAGACAGCAGCATGGACTGAAAGAGACATTATACCAAAAAAGGAAAATAAAAACTGTACCAGAGGCTACCACTATCTATTAAGGGACTAACCTATGTGCTAAATTCCTCCTATATTCCCTTTTATAAAAGAAAACCCCACATCCAAAATGTGGAGACAAAAGTTAAATACAGATTGCATACATAAAAAAGACACTGACCACCATCTTAACCACTACCATATACCATTCTACTTTTATTCTTAATCCCCACCTACTTTCTAAACATATGGAAAATGCAATCTCTATATAATAAGTGCCACCCAGTGATAACTACAAGAGGAACTCTTTTCTTAAGAGACCCCCGTGTACCAAACTTCTGTGTCCCCTTCCAACGTCCAGAACCGCAGACGAATCAGCCCACCCCTGTATAACCCCTCTTTATCGACCTTAACATGCTAGTCGTGAAAAATAAGCACGTGGAAAGAACCATGCGCCCGAATGAAAAAGCAAAGACTTCAGCAGCAACGGAAGAGGACGGCTTTTAAAACGGCTTGGTTTCTGCTACACCGAGGCAGCGAGTCCTACGCTGGTGGGACGCTGGAATCGCTGTAAAGTTTAAAAGATTTACAGTCGCACTTGTGTGCTGCGGCTCTGGATGGATTTTGAGAAACCCCATGTCCTACAGCATCAAAATCCCCAGCTTGGGGGAAGTGGTGCTTCCTAGAAGAACAGGCACCAACCCTTTTTCGTTTCTTTTTCCAAAGGAAGAAGGCTGGCGTTCGCCTTCCCCAACCCACAGACCATATAATGAATGTGGATTGGGTTCGCAGGCAAAAAAGTTGCAAAAAAAGCACTCGGCAATGGGGTTCCTCTTTCCAAAAATTAAAAAAAAAAAAACAGCACACAGAAGGAGAAAAACGATCAAATGCTGGATAAAAAAAGAGACAGAGCAAGCTTTTGCTCACTGACCTATGGAATAAAGCTTCTAACCTGAAAGGAGCAGCAGTAACATGAGTTTCCAGCAGCAAATCTGGACGTTCAGGCAAGGCCCGTTTTCATACTGAGGATTTAATTTCCCCAAGTTCTGAACCCAAACATCTACCCTCAGAAAGGTTCTTTCTCTCAGAAAGTGCAGAAAGTTCCGGCACAGGGTGTTTCAGAGAATCAGGGTGGGGTGGGGGTCAGGCTCCTTTCTCAACCGGTTTGAAGTAAGGAATAACCTTCCGGCAGAAACGAGAAAGCCTTTGGGCACCCTTCCCCAACACCTCTCACCCTTGACATCAGCTTTAACCATGAAGCCAAAAGTGCCTACACGTATGGCGGATGTAGCACACATGATCTGCAGCCGGACCCTTTTCTGACTGAGGAACAACCTGCTCGGGCCAAAGAGGCAGCGATCCCCTGCCATGTTTAGCAGCGCTTTGACCAAGGAAAGTCCAAAGCCCAGGTTTTATTAAACCATCAAGTGTGACTGGGGCAGGAAAGGAGCATGAGACTCAATGCTTCTTAGAGAGGAGGTGCAAGCAAGCAACATCTTGGTTTCAGGAATGCTTGTTAATACTCTGGATTTTTAAAAAAAACAAATCCCACCATTGAACACTTATTTTCAGTGCATCTGAAAAGCAAGCACAGCTCCAGAGACTCCTGCAGCCCAACGGAACTTCTCCGTGTATTTTGGGACAGATCATGTCCCCGCAACCCCATCTGTACCTGCGGCTTGTTTGCCACACAGTTTTATTAACACGGACCTTGGGGACGGCAGGCCCGTCGACTGCTGTGCCTCGACGCTTTGGAAAGCAGTACCCAAATGGGGCCTCCTCTCCGAGAGAAACACTTTTGGAAAAAATCAGTATGATGGCAAAAGTATAAAGCGGGAGAGAGATGGGATTCAGAAACGGAGGGATCCTTAAAACACATGCTGTGATGGGAGACCCACACCAAGGCCAGGACGACTGCCCCGTGAAAGCGCAGCTCCCCTTCCAGCATGAGCTACAGAAGCCCAGCAGGGCCAAAGGTTGCGTTAAAAATAAGGCGAGCGCCTTGCTTGTTTTGTGGGGGCTTTTTTTTTCCTTGCATAGTTTAAAAACAGCGACAGTCCCACCTCCAAGGTGCTTTGCACCATCCTGCCTTGCCCTCAAGCTTCATGGGATTCTGGACGCCGGCGGACCTGGTTCCATGCTGCTGACCTTCCAGGCACTGAGGCCCAAAAGATCCCCCCTTGCTGAGGCAAACAGCGGAGAGGGTGTGTTTCAACGGTTTTATAAGCACAGACCTGGCCCCGTCTGGCCTCCTGCAAATGTGATCTTGGCTACTCACTCGCTGCCGAGCCCCCTCGCTTCAACAGTCCCATTCAGTCCAAATCTTTTGTGGCCGCCTGTTTTTTCTGCTACCAGAATATATATATTTTTTAACTCGTTAGTTTTTAATATAAAAAGCGGTATGGTATGCCAGTGGAGCTCCAAATGGCTCAGCTTGGGGCAAAGGCACAATTAAAACACCATTATTATTATTATTATTATTTTCCTGCACAGAACTCCACATTTGTCATTTGTAGAAATTTTTTTTTTTACAGCACCAATCCTTGGACGGGGTGGCGAAGCCTACAAAAACCAAGTCTCCAGGAACCCCGGGCAAGGGCTCTGAACGAAGTCTTTTGATTTCCCTGTATTGAACGCTCTTGTTTTTGTGTTTTCTTGTCTCTGATTCCTTTCTGTTCTCCTTTTGTGCAGCCTGTCCTGGTTCGTTATCAGCTGACCATGGGCTCCACGTCTGCGTCTCGGTCAAACTCGTCCTGGATCTCGTCTGTGTTTCCTGAGTCGCTGCTAGCTACTGAACTGGGAGACGGAGAGTTTCTGTGGAGAGAAAAGGAGAGGAGGATGGTGGTTGGGAGGCTCAAGGGTGCTTCCCAGGCAGTGACTTCCACCAAAGTTACATGATTAAGGTTATCAAACATCAAGGCATGGGTCCTGATGTAATCAAGATGCTTCACTCCCCACTGTAAAATTCAATGCTGTATACAGAAAAGTTTATCTGGTGCCAAACTGATCTTGAGATATTTAAGGCAAGCTTATCTTGGTCTCCCACCCCACCCCAGATTTCCTCTCGGACCGTTTTCCTTTGCTGCCAGTAAAGCTGTGGCCCACCCGCCCCTCTTACCTTTCAGCTGAGCCTTTGATGAGCCGCCGGCAGGTCTCCATCTGGACATCCAGGCCCCGCTTCATGCTGCACATCTCCATGTACTCGTGGAGGTGGCGGTTCATGTCACTCTTGGCTGTGGCCAGTTCCAGCTGCACACAAGCAGAGGGACAAAGGCCGTCAAGCCCTGCTCGAGAACCCCCTTGCCATCCTCCCAGCTCCCCGTGCACCCTGAGCGGGCATGGGCCAATCCTGCACAACTAAAGGAGGCCAGCTGGAGCAAAGCCACCAGTGGAGGGACCACTTTCCACCTTCTCTCTTTAAGAAGCTGAGAAGGACCTGCTTCTCCCGTGGCCCAATGTGATTCTGTACAGCTTAACTCCGAAGTAAATTTCTAAGGAAAACCTAACCCTTATACCAAGTAACACTTTTTCACCACCACCTCTCAAACACACACAAACAAACACACACACACACACACACACACACACAGAGACACATACATTTGTCTGGATTATTTCCCACATAGGCAATCCAACCATATTCTCCTCCGCTCATATTTTTAAAATACATCTCTCAACATGCAAGGAAGATACAAGCTGGTTTTTTCCAGACTCATTATTTGGTGATAATACACAGCTGATAAGTGCCGAGCCACCAGAAGACAGCACCCAAGCCCATGCTGCTCCTTTGGCTGTTTCTTGCTTTTACTCCTTTGCCATGCTGATCACAAACCCATTTCCCTTACAGGGCAGAGCCCAGCTCTCCAGACCTTTGGGACTACAACTTCCATAACCCCACCCATGACCAGAGCTCCTGGAACTGGAAAGGTTCTCCCATCTCTGATGCAGACGTGGGTCAGCTCCTGGAAGAGGAGAATGAGGGGAAAGAAGGAGACCAGCCAAGCTTCTCACCTCAATCTGCCCTATCGTTTCTTGGTATTCCTTGTCTCTTGTTTTGAAGAAGGATTCCGTCTCGTGGATCAAGTTGCCCAAGTTCTCCTCTTGCTGAAAGGGAAAATGTTTAGAAAATGAGGGGAAAAGTGAGGTGAAGTCCGTCTCTTAAGATCAGTCACAAGAGATGGGCAACATTCAGCCCAAGATGTGGAAGGAGGCGTGTGTTTTATTCTTGCCATGCCTCACAAATAGTGAACATACTATCCCGTAACTTTTAACAGCACCCTTTCTAGACCAACGCTCATTTTGATTCGGGGGAGCCCTCAAAGTGCTTTCTGACGAATACTGGAGGAAGCCCTGAGTGTCGCTGAACAGCTCATCTGCCTGAGCCCCATCTGGGGTGCTGGAGGCCTGGAGAGAATGAGCTGCAGTGCTTGGAACAAGACAAGAGTCTAGTCAATTAGCTTTTCTTCCTGATCTCCATCTACAAGACAAATCTACCCTTCCGTTATGTAATTTTCAGTTAGGAGGGACTTAAGCCTCTTAAAACCTTTAGAGCGGCAGCCGGGGAGGCCTGAAGTCTGTAATACTCCACTGATAGCGACCCTGCTCTCTTGCACGGCGCATGGCAGAATGCAAATAATCTGCTACTAATTCCAGCCCCATCGTTAAACTACTTTATCGCCCTGGCACTTGTGTCAGCTCACGGGAGATGCCTGGCTGGAAAAGCCGCGCTTTCTGCAGCCTTAACACTTTGCCATAATCTCTTGCCGTCTCCGTCCATGTGGAGCACAGTTTGGAAAAGGGGAGGCAGAAGCATTAACTTGCGTGGGCTCCCGGCGGTCATCAGGAGCGACCGCAGTCCAAGAACACCTGGGTTACCCAAGGCTGGGAACCGTAATCACATTAACAACCAGCCCTTCCTGGATAGAGGTCCAATATATTTATATTCATCATGTTTACCTTCAAGAGAGCTGCTTGTTTCTCCTTGTACCATTCCAGTAATCACACCCCTTGATTTTAATTTCTCCAGGAATGAACAAGTGCAGGACAATCTCAGTAAAACGACTGGGAGGGGGATAACTATGAACTGCATAACAATTTTTTTTAGTGCATTCAGCCGGGACCTTGAATGCCTGCCACCCTGCCCTTTCTCTCATGAAGAACCACCCTGTGACAGGGACTCTAAGCTGCCAGAGAAGCAATCCTCATGTGAACAAGCAGTCATGAGGTTTCCAAGACAACACACAATAAAACAATGTATGTCTTGGGGAAAAAGAAGTAGGCTTACAGCTCCATTTTCAGAGAGGCAGCTGCATTAGTCTATTTCAGCAAAAATGAGCAAAAAACTAACAAGACAAAATATGTAGCATGGTTGAAACTAACTAATTTATTTCCCTGTGAGCTTTCGCTGATTACCATCTGTGATAAGAGTAATGCATAATTTTGAAAGAGAGAAGCAGAGGGTGTGACTGATTCACTCCCATATTCTATCCTTTTGCTTTAGCTCAACATTTCCTCTACCTGTGAAATTTAAGACCAGGCTTTTCAAGCCTAATGCTACTCAACTCAAGAAGTTTATTAGAGGCTGCTGAGAGTTTTGCTGTTACGTTTAGGGGTTGGAGTGGGGGTGAGGGGTGGGGTGTGACTGGTATTGTTGTGACAACTTACAGGGCGGTCCCCTCCACCTGATGCAACCGGTGATGGGAGCTGCCATCGAGAGATTATCACGGGCACGAGCTTTTCCGGAGAGCGGTCCCCTCCACCTGATGTAACCGGTGATGGGAGCTGCCATCGAGAGATGCTTTTTACCAACAAGCCAGGCCCAAAGCTACCACGAGACTCTCATTTCGGCGTAAAGCTGCCAATTATCATCCAGTCTCCTTAACCCTCCAAGGCGCAGCCGCCTTGTTCCTCAAGAACTGCTTTCCCACCCAACCCCACCCAGTCAGGCACCAGCCTCACCTCTCCCTGGAGCTCAATCGAGGGGTTGCAGTTAGTAAAGTCCTCCCAGAGAAGCAGTGTGTCCTCATTCTCTTCCCAGGTCAAGCTGTCACAGTCGTCATCAAAATCAAAAGTCTCCCGCCTGCCAGAAGAGGAAAAGACACAAACATTTTTCCCCCTCCGTTGCAAGGCTTCAGGTTCACAGTTTCCTCCCTGGCAGGATGGGCAGCCTCCGAGTTCTTCGCAGGGCCCGGAAAGCAACAGTGCAGCTCTTCCCCTCCAGGTGGTGCTGTGCATTCGCCCAAGTTTGGGGAGTTCTCTCCAGGAGCGCCTTCAGCACCCAGAGATCAACGTTGACCCCTGTCGCCACCACACACATACCCGTCACACGCATGCAAATGGGAAAAAAAGGTGGCACTCCCCCCCAAAGCACACATGAAACAGCCAGGCAGAACGTCCACGACCTCGGAGGCACCTTGCTTTGCCCCTGTTGTGTTTCATGGGGCCAGAGTTGGGCTCTACCCCTTCCAGCCTCTGAACAGCCCAGATCTGTGACCCAGCCACAGGCTCTCCCAAGGAAACAGCCCAGCTCCTTTCGCCTGCAACACTGGGGCTTCTGAATAAGCAGTCACGCCTAAACCACTGCCAAAAAACGGCCATGCATAAAAAGCTACCACCTCTCTGTTCGACCCATTTGTCCTGACTGCACACTCTCTGAAGCTGGAGATTTAGAATCAGAATGACCACTTTAACTGAAAAGCTAACGTGATCACGGCTTGAGAGGAGACTTTACTGTCAGGATCGCAACTTTGGGCTTGTCTGAAAAGTGTCCGAGAGGGCCGACAGAATGAACCCTCTTGCCTGGCAGTCTGGTGACGACTCTGGCAAGATTCACAATAGGAAGCATTTTTGTCGCCTGAATTCATTTCCCTCCCAGCAGGACACAGGAAGCCGAGATCAAGCCCGATCTGACAAAGAATAGGATCCGAATTTGGCAGGAAGCCGGAAGCTGCAGCGTGGGAGGCCACGGCGGCTTCCCAAAACAACCAGGCTGGAACAAAATGTGAAGACACAGACCCTTTCTGCAGTCTGCTCCCAGGACAAAAGGAAAGGCACTTCCTATTTCAGAAAGCTGCTCACCTTCAGTGGTGTTTACTCTTTGGTGCAGCTATTTATTCTGAATAACTGGGAACTTTTTACTCAAAGGCAGATCGGTAATGCAGTTGCTGTTCCGTACAGGCAAGACGGCACAAACTGGAACCTGTCGCTCTTCCCTGGGGTGAGGAATATACACACCATGGCCCCCAATGACCTGTGTTAAAAAGCTCGGGCCCTATAAAAACAGCCATTAAAAGCCAGCATTGTGGTTATTAATCTAGGGCTTCACTTGGGGCTGTCGCCTTAGGGAAACATGCTATGGAGGTAAAAGCCAGTCAAAGGAAGAGGAGAGGAAGGCTGCGGGGCAAACTCACACAGAGTTCCAGTAATGATAGAGAGACAAGTTAAGAGCTTCCTCCATCCTAAAGACAGGTCCTGTCTGGCCTGCCAAATGCTGCTGGGAGCACAGTTCCCATCAGCCCCAGCTGGCACAGCCAAAGCACGGGGTGATGGGAGCTGGAGGCCCAGCAAGATCTGGAAGCGTACCTGTTTCCCCCACCTATGTCCACGCCCACGTTTAGGAGGTTTCCTTCTATCACATCCTCTTTCCAGAGCACCCAGCAGGAAGCCACACTTGCCATGCCTCTCAAGCCGAGATCGCTTTGCAAGCAAAGCACCACACGCCACCTCTGCGGCAGTCTCAAGAAGGGGCCCCTCCCTGCATGGAGGGGCCAAACAGACCAGCTGCAGAAGGTGGCCACAGAGCCCCACCAAGAGCCCGGAGACATGGCTCTACCATGCACAGATCTCGCTGGACCTGCGCTTTCAGGGCCCTCCGGGAAGAGCTCTGGGGCGCTTACAGAGGGATGTCACAGGCCACCTGCCACTATTTGGGACAACAAGCAGAATCATCTACAACGAGCAGGGTCCCCTTGATTTGCAGAGCCTGTGACCGTGCAATTCTGCTTGCCCGCGTGAAGCACGCCAGCAGGCTTGGCACTGAATTTGCGCATTTTTCCTGCCCCAGGGTGCGGGCAGCAGGCAGCTTCTTCCCTTGGGACCTGTGCCAGGGGGTGCCAAGCTCCTCATGCACCTGTGAAAATACTTACAACTGATTAAACATCCTCTTCATCTCGTCCGTGATGTTCAGGGAGCTGACCTCGTCGTCCGAGAAGCGGGCATTGTCGGCGTCCTGCTCCGAGATGTCGTCATCAGAAAGGAGTTTCCGCTCTTTCTTCTTGGACGCCACCTGAACGTTGGAGAGAAAGGCCGTGACTAGGGGGCTCCCAACAGAGCCACTGAGATAAGAGAGGACGGGGCCAAGGAGAATACTGTCCACCCCCCTCTCCCTGTGACACGCAGGTGCTGGTGACAACTCAGGTGTGTTACAGCTGGTGGGACACAACAGCACAGGAAAGCAAACCAAGGTGGGCACACGGCAAAAGCAAGCAGCTGGAGCGCTGGCGGCAGAGCTATGCCTCAGGGGCCCAGACTGCCATGCGAAGGCCAAGTGGATGACGCAGAAAGCAGTTGGGAGGTGCCTGGGGTGACAAGCTGGAGAGCAACGGGGATTCCCTCGGCAGTCCCCTTCCTGAGCCTTTAACCAACGGTGACTGGAGGGGGCTGGGCTGAGCAGAGAGACAGCTCACAAAGGGAAGCCCAACTCTCTTGCCACTTCCAAACATGAGCAGGGCTAACAGGACACTTTTGAGAAGACAGCATAAAAATGGAATGGAAATGGACAAGTGGGCTGGAGATTTCAAGAAACAAGCTGACGCTATTCAGCCCTTACCCTCCCTGGGAAGGGGGGGAACCCCTAAGATCACTGTCTTCAACCCCTCAAGTCTCCACCTCTAAGCCTACATGAGTAAAACTAGACTTGCTTACCCTCCCTCGGAAGGGGGGGGGGAACCTCTAAGATCACTGTCTTCAACCCTCTAAGCCTACATGAGTAAAACTAGACTGGAACAATTGTTGAGGCTTTGGGAGTCTTCCTTTGTGCCACACATGTCTGCCTCCTACGCCCTGGACTACTCTTCAGCCGCCCTGGACCTGGAGATGGGAGCAGCTGCCTCTGCGCCTGCAACGTCTGCCCTGTGGTCGTGTCTCCTCAGGATCGAGACAGATCTGGAGCACTGGAACGCACCGCACCCCTCACAACACTTCTCTGTACAGCCCATGGGGGCCACACACCATGTCCACCCAGGCCTACTCTTGGGATCTCTCCGAGAGCTTCTTCCAAGAGAGACTTAGGGTGCCCTGGATGCACACAATCTGGGGCCCATGGGGGCCACACACCATGTCCATCCAGGTCTGCTCTTGGGATCTCTCTGAGAGCTTCTTCCAAGAGAGACTCCGGTCTTAGGGTGCCCTGGATGCACACAATCTGGGGCCAGGTGGGAACTGGGCAGGCTTGTGCACATGGCAGGACCTCACCACGGTCAAGACCCCACAGTTCCTGCTTCCCTCCGGCTGCTCCCAACGCAGGAAAGACCGGCCGGAGGAAGAGGGACGTCACCTGCAGAGGCCTGGAAGCCAGCCTCCGACTTGCACGGTGGGGCATTCCTGAGAACGGCAGCACCAGAGCCAACGGGGTGCTCCCTTGCACTCTCTTATCCGCCCTCCCTGACAGAGCCATGACTCTCCACAGGACAGGATGGGCGCCTGGTCACCTGGAATATCTTGGAAACATCTTCCGAGTTGCGCTGCTGCGCGACATCGCACAGCTTGGCTGTGATATCGATGCGTCGACAGATGTCCATGTCCACTTTCATGGCTTTCTCTTGGATCTTTGTGTCCAGGTCTGTCATAGGCTGCGGGAAGGGACAGCAGTGGGTTATCTTCCATTCATACAGTTCAGAAGGAGCAGCGGCAGCAGCAGCCGCAAAGACATCCTACGGGATCAGATCACGCCAGCCTCCACATCAATGCTGACGGTTCTCCAAGTATGTTCAAAACATCCAAGGAAACACAGCTTTTGGGTGGGCGGCCAAGTCAATGTGAGAGGAATACTGGCAGCTAAGAAAGAAAAGCGTTCAGGATGGAGGGCAGTAAAACCCAGGCTTCACACTGGCAACGCCGGTGTTCTAGGAACAAACACATCAAAAAACTATTCTACAAATCCCCTGAGGAGCTGTCTGCGTGGGAAGCAGACTCTGCCTTAAAGAGAAAAGCAGCACTTAATGTCAGAAATCTTGTCTGACACCTTCAGGCTAAAAATACCTTCTTCTTACAGGATGATACACCTGACTTCTCATTCCTTTTCAAAGGAAGTAGAAGAGGGTGAAACGGTGCCCAGTGCACACCTTCCAAGAGTGATGGGGACCTTTGGAAACTATCTGCAACTTCCTGTGTCACTTCTAGAAAGAGACCGAGGGCCTTCCAGTTTTCTTAACCTACTTCAGCAGCACGTCGCTTCCTAAGTGTGCCCATGTGAAGAAATACAAATGCAGGAAGAGATATGGGTGGACGAGGCCGAATGAGTCTGTGTTGGCTGCAAACGGCTTCAGGGCTACGTGGCTGTCAAGACACCCAAGGCTCTTCTTACAAGCTCTCTCTAAACCAAAGACTCAGGACTCTCTGTAACCAAAACTACTTCCCTCGGCTGAGGGTTTACCCTGAAGCGGAGCTTTGCCCAAAATGAAATGCTGCTTCCTTGGCTTGCCATGATGGCAGGCACGGCATCGCTCCTACTGTGTTTTGGAAACATGCATTTTCAGAAAGACCGTCGTCTTTAGACAGGAGTTAGGTGGCCCTTTCTTTTCCAAAAAACTCACACTCTTGGCAATGCACCTCACCTTGTCTCCAGTTCATGCTGTTGCCGTGAGGCACACGTCTGTCTAAGGAGATAGAGGCTGTGTTTTGACTTCACAACAAGGCTTATCTTTGTGTGACCCGAGAGTGTTTAAAGCCGTTCACATGCTCCCAGCCCACAACCAAGCTGCCTCAACTCACGAGGATACATTGTGGTCTAAGCGTTTAAGGCCGTGAGAGTGTGCTTCAACGTCACTGGAGCCCTGCCGCCCTTCTTATTGTTTTTGCTGCCCTTGCGGGTCTTTGTGGGACACAGCGATCCTCTCACAAGGGCCAAACAGCGGCTCTCCTCTGTAACAAGCAAAAAAAACTGAGCCTGGCTGAGGTTTGCTTTGGAGTCGGGGTGTCAGAAGGACAATGTGCCCCTAAAGAGAAAACAGCACACTCACAAACAACCTGGGGTTTTTCTTCATTCCCTCTCACTTCCAGGGACAGAAGCGGGATCAAGCTTCTTCTGGCAGGCCCAGGGCAAGGTCTAAAGGGGAGTACAGAGCCAAAGGGTGGTCTAGGGCTACAAAAGGACCAAGGGGCAGTTCTGCTGTCCAACCAACCAGCAGAGGATGCAAACAAGGCCCTGAGAGCAGAAGAAGGGGATGTTTGGAAACCTCTCTCTCTCTCTCTCTCATGGATGGCAACCTAGGCACTCAACCTCCTTTGCCAGCGGTGCGACGGCTACGCACACAAGGCCTTCCATCCTCCCTGAAAAGGCAAGCCATGCTATTCTCTCTCTCTCTCTCAGGTTTCCAAAGCAGCCAGTGATCCGCCACTCCCAGTGCCTACACCCCGTCTTCCGTGCAGGCTGAATACCATTCCAAGCCCCCTGTGCCTATGGTGGAGGACCAATGCCCTTAAAGGATGCCAGGACCGTCTGCCATGTTCGTTTCAGGGGCTTCGGCGAACCAGCCCTGGCAGGAAGGCATTGTAGAGAGAGAGGGGGACAAGTCAGGGTGGTGTGAAAAGCAGCCAGTTAATGCATCTACACAGACCAGATGGAAAGCAGGGAGAAGACAAGGTGGGGTGGGCAGGTTGGTCTGATGCATTAGGTCATCTCGGACAGCCATACTATCATCGGCAAGCAGCACGGACTGAAGCCGTCACTGTTTCATTAATGAAGCTATGAAAATGACTTCCAAAATAAAGAGAGCAAAGCAAGGCTCGGCTTCCAAGGGTACTTACATCACTCATCAGACCCTTGAAGACCACCAGCTCCGCTTTCAGCCTCTCAATCTTCTCGTTTAACTCTTCCTGGAGAGCCTCGGCTTCTTGCGCTTCCTAGAGGAAAAGGGGACACCAATGATGGGAGGGGCTGAGAGGAGGGAGATAGACCCCGTGGAAGCAGCACTCGGGGATCCGATCCAGATCCCAAGGGCTGGATCTGAGACAGACAGCTGCAGGCAGTGGGACAGTCACAGTGGCCAAAAGGAAAAAAGAGAGGCAACTGCCAGATCAATACGGCCCCTTTACACTCCTGGCCGTCCCCGCTTAGAAGCAAGTGTGTCAAGTCAGAACTGACAAGTTTAAGGGAGGCCTCTCCTGCTTTTCTTCCTCTGTTGAGTGAGAAGAAAGCCACTCTCCAAGGGCAAGGTTCTCTACAGGTGTGCATTTTTTTCTTCTCACAGCTACCAGCCATAGATCAGAAGCTTTTGAGGACTCACTTTCCAGGCTGGATCAAGCCAGGGTTCTTTAGATAGTCTGACAGCAACAAGTCACCTCTAACCTTATCACAACCATAGATAAAGCATCAAACTCTAGGGTAAGCATCCTCTCTGGGTCTGAGAAAAAGAACAGTCCAATCCCCTGTAAAAGATGGCAAGGGAACGGAGCAAAGAAATGGCTCTACAGAGGGGAACCTATGCAATTCAGAACTAAGTGGTGAACGCAGCTAGGCCACCACGAGACTCTGTGGAAGGACGGGCAGCCACGCTCTGTTCAAAACCTACCTCTTGCAGCGTCTCTACCATTGATTCAAGACTCATGCGCTTCCCCAGTTCCTCCTCCCATCTGGAAAAGAAGAGAAAAAGGATCCATCAGGACAGAAGTTAGTGGAAAATGAAGTCAACTGCATTTGTTAAAATTTTAATCCTCAACCCAGATCCCAAGGGTACCTATGACTATTATGAGGATCAAGAGCTACACAGTCTGCCTGAATTTAAGTTACCTCTCCTTCTTTCATATCAATTCAGTCCCATCATTTGAAAGAACACACTTGTTTTTGTTCCTCAAAATAACTTGACAGCTTTCAGCCGAAACCTGCCACCTCTGAGCTCAAGAGCAGCCCAAGCCTACAGGAGCTTCTCTTTAGGGCCCAAGCCAAACATTCCAGATGGAATCGCCTTCAAGAGTAAGCCTCAAGAATGCCTCGGGTCACGTCTGCAGGGCCCTTTTGCTCTCACTTCCCTCACAGAGCTGCTGGAGAGCCTCGAAGCTTGGTTGCTAAAGCTATGATTGATGACAACCATTAAGGTGTCTGTAATCCAGTAAAAAGCATGGATGCAAGGATGATTAAAGTACATCTGGAAGCCTAATTATAACAAGGAAATTGTACTTGGTTACTGCTTCCATTGGCTACTGTTAACAAAATTCCCAGATGAAAGAATTAGGCTGGGACGGGGGCACACGCAAGATCTACCCATCACAGTTCAGCTCTGTCATAAAATAATTTTAAAAATCTAAACAAACAAAGCCCACAATGAAAGGAGGAGACCTGTGTGAGCATCAGGGAAATGCATTTCTTGCCAGAGTCATCCAAAGCTTTGCCAAGCCTTCATATTTCCAATGGAATCTGGTGGCGCACATCTCCATTTCCCCAGCCAACCGCATCCTACTGAATTGCTTCCAAAAGTGGCTCCTGTGACGAGCTGGAGTTTACACGTTGCAACACACGCCCCCTTCAAGGGCTGCATTTAGAAGCAGCCACAAGCCGAGGAAGACCAAAGGCAACTGTTCTGCTCCTGTCTTCAGCTCCAATCCTCTGCTCCCTGCACCCGAGGGTGTCACTCCCCTTCTCCCCAGCAGCCTGGCTTAGGGTGCCATTGGCATGGTGCAATGCAACACAAGAGGGTTGTTGCCACTTCTGTCTCCGCAGAGCAAAGGTGACCCCTCCCCACCTAAGGAACTGCACACTTGAATAGAAAAGCAGTCCAGGAGTGATATTTCGAGCCCCGCTGGTCATCATCAGCTGTTTATAGGCAGACTAAAATACAGAGCTTGGAATCGCCTTGTGGCAGCCCCATTTTTAGAATTCAACCCTGGTGATCCCCACTTGCAAGGAGGTGATGGATAAATCCATATGCATTTCTTACTTTCAGTCTGGAGAAACAGACAGAGATAGGAAACCATCAGCATCTTGCCACTGAGATATATCCCCCACCCACCCACTGCTAGTTCAGATCAGTCCAAGATCACATATCGGTGGGAGGGGGAGGGGGACAGGAAGGGGAAGAGGCCTGAGTAATGGCTCCAAGAGACATCTATCCAAAAGCACATAGGAAGGTGTCTGCCACAGGGTGAGCAGTGAGCCCTTGGAAAGGATGGGCAAGCACCGAGGCCGCAGCCCCAAGGCCCACCTCTGTCAGGGTGAGGGAGGGGGCCCTCCGTTTCTTGGCCTGGTAGGGGACTTGTCCCCAGATCCCCATGGCACCCAGGGCAGTCATTTTCATTTCCTACAATGTAAGGCAAAGCAAGACGAATGTGAGCTGAAAACAAAATGAAACAAAGCACTGTGAGGTCACTTGAGTCACTCTGAACGAAGGCTGAAGGAACATGAATATGACAAGCCACTGCCCTGGTGTAGCCCACAGGCTCTGTGCTATGTAACAGCACACCAGTGACAAGTTTTACCAGCTTTGTTCAAACCCAGCTAATGGGCTTCTTGGGGCAGAAAACTGGTCCACTCCCAGTTCGCCTGGCCTACCAGCATCACTTCTAGGGGTCCAAAGTGACAAAATCGCCTTGTAAGTGCATTATGTAGCGGCATCTACTTAAAGAACAACTGCACACACACACCCCAGTGCTTTCAATTCTGGCCATGGCCAAGCCAGATGAGTCATTTCTCTCAGACAATGACTGTGTTTGAACGGGAGCCAGCCACTGCATTTCACTAATGGGAAGCCAGGCTTCCTCACTGTAAGTCATTTTTAAAAAAAAAAACAGTCTGGTATTTGGCTTTGATTGTTTCTCCCATGACACTGATTAATTTCATACAAGTCCTACATGAACACATTTAAAAACTGAAGCATCTGATCTCATCAGGATAAACTGGCTCCCACAGCTGTGAGCTGCTACTGAGCAACCCAACACAAGAACACAAGCCAGGAGAATCCATGGGCTGGAACTTTTAAAATCCCTATGTTAAAACAGGCAAGGGGGATAGATCCACCAGCAGATATTGTTCAAAAGGACCCAGTGCAAAGAATAGCAGCTACTACAGAATCAATGAGCCACAGCTAAATGGGACGCTGCAAGCTAGGGAGAGGCAGATGCTCAGGAGGTGCTCACTGTGACATGTCATCTTGAAGAGTGGTTCCCACCCAGCCTTGGGTCCCCAGATGTCCTTGGACTATGACTCCCAGAAATCCCAGTCGGCACAACCTGTGCTGAAGGCTTCTGGGAGTTGTAGTCCAAGAACCTCTGGGGACCCAAGGTCGGGAACCACTGATCTACAACAAGTTTTACAAACTCCCCATCAATTCAAGAGTCAATGGCATTTTCAGCAGAGTGCTCCCGGGTCTTCCTGTCGGCCTCTGGCTCGGGTTGTTGTGCCAATGGCCGGCTTTAAGAGCCAAGCCGCCACCTGGCCAATGACACTGTGATCCGGCAAATGAGAGGGCTAATCAAAGAGCCAGAGGAGCCTCAAGAGGGAAACACTTTGATCAGGCCAACTAAAAGGGCACAGAAAGGAGGGCAAGCTTGCGTATCAGGTCCCAGATTACTAAAAACCAAAGAAGGAAAGCAGGAAGGAGGTCTGACTGTGTTCCCAGACAGTTCTATGAAGTCTGACTCGCCTTCTGCCACCAAGGGAGCTAAAAAGGATGCACATTTCAGCGATTCTTAAGGGACGCTTGACCTTGAAGCGACTGGAGAGACTCTGCATGTAAGCGGCACTGATGTGAAGAAGCCGAAGAGATGCTGAGACAGCAGTTGGGGATCACAGACATCTCCTTCCCCCCCTCCCCCCTCCGCCAAAGAGGAGGAAAACGCCTGGCTGCTCTGCTCGCCTTCCTCCGGCACCAAGGGCACGAGAGGCTGTCGTTGGAGTAGGAAAACTGGCCCAGTGCCGACTGGCAGAACCACTGGGGACGGGGGACGGGGGAGAGACTCTGAGCAGGCAGTGCAGAAAGATGTACTCCGGCTGCAGCAGACAGCTGCGTTGCCGGGTTTTAGATTTTTCTTGGCTCAACCATCGGTTCCCACAATGTCCAGCTGCAGCCAAGAGCCGCCCAGTATCAGTGCAGGAGCAAACCCGCTGCCAAGCAGAATTTACCCACTGCAAAAAACATGCCATTAGCGGCCCAAGTCTCAGGCTACCGGGATTATTTTTAAACAAAGTGTCCGTTCCAAAACATTTTAAACCCCGAGAGTGATCTCAACGCCTCTCTAAGGGCAGCCCTTTCAAAGTGTTTTGACTACTGTCGACATTCGCAGGATCATTGTTATAGTTACGGGAAACGGATGCGGCAGCTAGGAATCCAGTCCCCTCTTTCCATACGCAAAGCTGCATTCCAAAAACATGCCATCACTGCAGCCTCAGACCTCAAGCCACCTCCAGCCATGATTCGCAGCTTCTACGCCTCCTGGGGGAGGGGGGAGGGAGAGACTTCCGAGAGGTAGTAGAAGGATATCTACAGTATCACACATTAAGGTAACAAAGCAAGAAACACTGAAAGCCATGTTGACTCTAGAGATGAGTCAGTTTTACCAGCATCCTTCCGTCTTAGAAACACATTCTCCATAGGTGAAGCTACTGAACAGTGACAGCCAAATTGTTTCAAAGACAGCCATTATGTAAATGTTTATCTTGATTGAGAGTTTCTGTAAGTCATCGTTTCCCTTCCAGTTAGTCTGAACCTGCCCCTGTTTAAACTTGTCATCACAGCATGCTATTCCTATGAGGGGAGATAGAGATGCTCCAGAACAATCCCACAGAGTTAGCAATTTTATTTTCAGAAGCAGGAATTGGGGGGGGGGGGAGAGGGACAGGAGAAAGTGCTTACAGGTTGGCGGTGGTGCCTCTTCCTAGTACTGTATCTCTGTTATCAGAGTCCAGACTGCCAAAGGCAGGGGCGGATCATTTACCACAGAGTGCAGAACAGCCTCCTTTGGGTTTTGAGACATGAAGGATCATGGCAAGTCACTTCCTCCCTCCTTGCAGGATGACCAAGCATTCAATATTGCAATAAGTAGAGACCCACTACAAGGCACTGGTCCCATCAGAGGTGCGGGATAGAAGCCACACATCACTTTTTTCATTTCAGAATGCACCTTAACCACCATATGAAAAGCTACAAGCTATGACAAAGAAAGATTGGCAATTCACTGCATCCTGGGTTTTCTCTTCTACAACGCAACAGTTAACTAGTCTTCTCTTAACAGCTCAAGTCATGAAAAGACACAGACTCTGAGCTACTCTGAAAGAAGCCTGAATTTTGTGAATCTAGGATCCTGAATACAGTACACTGTATTTGCCACACATGTGCAGAGTCGTGTGATCCCCATTTCAAGACCACCAGTGATGCTCAAGCAGACACACCATTTGGTTATTGAAACCAGGGCTTAATTCTGCAAGAACAACAAGTGGGAACGGCAATGGTAGCTGTCGGATTTCCCTCTCGGCAGGTGGATCACACCAGGTCTTGCCATCTCTTCAGTGGGTGGATATCTGAAGTCTTCTGTCATGAGCCCCACCAACAAGGACAAAGGGAAGAAGAAAGAGCCCTACCTGCCAGGCCCAGGGAGCTACACCCTGGGTGGGGCCACCCCCTTGTCTGTTAGTCACAGGCAAG